CCCCCCCCCAAACCCCTTCGGCAGCGCGGCGGCCGGCAGGATGCTGCCCTCGCAGGAAGCCTCCAAGCTCTACCATGACAACTACGTGCGGAACTCGCGCGCCATCGGCGTGCTCTGGGCCATCTTCACCATCTGCTTCGCCATCATCAACGTGGTGGTCTTCATCCAGCCCTACTGGGTGGGCGACAGCGTCAACACGCCCAAGCCCGGTTACTTCGGGCTGTTCCACTACTGCGTGGGCAGCGGGCTGGCGGGCCGGGAGCTGTCGTGCCGCGGCTCCTTCACCGACTTCAGCACCATCCCCTCGGGCGCCTTCCAGGCGGCGGCCTTCTTCGTGCTGCTGTCCATGGTGCTGACGCTGGGCTGCATCACCTGCTTCGCCCTCTTCTTCTTCTGCAACACCGCCACCGTCTACAAGATCTGCGCCTGGATGCAGCTGCTGGCAGGTACGCACGGGCACCGGGCATCCCCGCGCCCCTCCACCGGCCTTCTCTGGGGGGGTGGGGGGATGCGGGGTTCGCCGGGACAGCAGCGGGCGGCGGTAGCCCCGGAGCTCCGGGCGTTGGTGGAGGGGCTCCTGGTCGCAGGGAACACCGAGGTTGCTCAAGGAAGCTGGGCTGGGTCCAAGCGCTGCGGGGCCGTGGTTCCAGGAACCAGCCCCAGGGCTTCCTGGGACACCCCGGCCAGGCGCGAGCACTGACAGAGCACCAGGAACGGGCACCAGCTCGGGGCTCTGGCACCCAGGGCTCCCCAGGCACTGGTGTCAGGACAAGGAGCACCAGGGTTGCCTGAGAAAGCTGGGCTGGGTACAAGCACTGTGGATTCCCTAGGACATCCCAGCCAGGAACCGGCTCCAGGACACCCCAGGGCTTCCTGAGATACACCCCGGACAGGCACTCACGCTGACAGAGCACCGGGAACAAGTGCCAGCTCTGGGCACTGGCACCCAGGGCTCCCTGGGCACAGGTTGGCTGCAGGGAACACCAGGGTTGCTCGAGGAAGCTGGGCTGGGTACGAGCACTGCAGAGCCATGGGGCATCCCAGCCAAGAACCATCCCCAGAGCCCTCCAGGAATTCCTGAGGCACCCAGGCCAGGCACTAGCACTGACAGAGCACCAGGGCACCTCTTCCAGGCACTGGCACCGAGGCCTCCCCAGGCAAGATCTGACCCTGGGGAACCACAAGGCTCCCTGGGACACAGCAGGAAAGCTGGATCAGGAACCCACCTCAGGGGACCCCGGAACAGGCACCAGCCCTGGGGCACCTGGGCAGCCTGAAGCACCCCAGGACAGCTGGGCCAGGTACCAGCCTTGGAAAACCCAGGGACACCCCAGTCAGGGACCAGCTTTGGGACACCCTACAACAAGGACTGTCCCACAGAGTCAAGGACCAGCTGCAAGGATGCCCTAGGACACCCTGGACCTGGGACCAGCCCCCGGAACGCCCCACACGAGGGACTAGTCTCCTTGTCTGCCCAGCCCCAAGGGCATCCCTCAGCAAGCCTGCCCCCAGGGGATACCTGCTTTAGGGGAACTCCCATCACTGGCAGGAGCCCATGCATGGATGCCCCAGCCCTGTAAAAGCACCTGTGCACAGACAGACCCTCCAGCTCCCCCTTAAAGAGATGTTGTGCCCAGCCCCCCCCCCACTCCCTCCAGTGTCATGAAAGGCCTGTGAGGACAGACCTTCCCCAGCTCTGTGCATAAAGAGACCCTGAGTACAGCGCTTCCCACAGAGAGAGATACCATACAATTTACCGTCATGTCTCCTCAGAAGCGACCACAGGCTCAAGCCCAGTCATTCCCCCCAAAAGTGGCCCTGTCTATAGATCCTCCTTAGCTCCCTCTGCAAAAGAAACCCCACCATAGATGTACCCCAACACCCGACTCACTTCTCAAAGGGACACCATACAATAACCCAAACTTTTCCCCAGAAGAGGACCTGATATGTATGTTGATAAGGATCCTAAATATCCCCTTGTGCACAGACCTCCAAGCTGTCCTCACAGAGGGTCTGTCCTTTTGGGAGAAAGACCCTGAGAAGAGATGCTGAGCTTCCCCCAGTAGCGGGACCCTTCACTTCCTTCTCTTTCCAGTTTTACCGCATGTGGAAAGATATTGTGTTACTCCCCAGTGCATACAAAGTGTGAATAGGCCCAGAGCTTCCACCAGAAGGGCCCAGAGCCCCCCGTATTCCTAGTAAAAGGACGCCAGTCTGCCTGTCCAGGAGAAGGGCCCCAGTCATCGATGTGGGAGGATACAGCCCCCCCCCCCGCCCCGTGCTAGGGGCTTGCAGCTAGCCCGGCTCTCTCCCTTGCGGCTGGCTTGGGCTGGAAAGCCTGATTTCTCCTCACCCAGATCAGGACCACAGCCAGACCTGGTGCTGCCTTGGCTTATTGGGAAATTCCTTCATCTTTAATTTTCCCTGTCCTCAAGATTTACCAGTTTAAGGCAAGCTCAGAGCCCAAATCCTACTGATTGTCAGCAGCTTAATCAAGTGGCTTGGAGCGCCTGGCTGGTGCTGCTGCTGCACAGGGAGCTGCGTGACAGAGGGCACGACACCGAAGGTAGGCCCGGGCTTCCTCCCCGGAGCCTCCTGTCCTGCTTGGTGGCCACGGCAGCACCCTGCTGCTGTCACCTCTAGGTACCCGTCGCTCTACCCTGGGGCTTGTCCCTGCTCACACTTTGCACCTTGTGGCTACACTTGTGTTGCTCACAACTGCACTTGTGAGAACCCCAAGTGCGTGGCTTGCTGGGGCCATGGGCCGGCTCTTCTGGCCCCAGCTGGTCCAGGCTTGGCTCAGAGCTCTCCCAAAACAGCACGGCTATGTGGCCTTTCTGTGTCGGGGAAACTCCAAGGCGGCATTAACAGACACTGGCCATCCACCCTGCCCTGTGATGGGGCAGCACGAGAGGGCTTCTGTCCTGCAGGAGAGGCTGATGTCACCATCGGGGAGGGCCAGGATGCAGAGGCGGTGGGGTGGTGCGTCCCGGTGAGAGGGAGCCTTGTCTGGGGGGTGGCTGGGCAGGACTGAACTTCCCTGGGCATGTCAGAGGCAGCAGCAGGTGGATGTGTTACCTTGTGCAAGGAAGAGGAGCTGCCTTGACCCATGGAGAGGACCCCATGGATCAAATCCCATGGGTAGGGCAGGGATGTGGCCCGATGCAGGCGCCGGCACAGCATGATGGCAAGCTTTGGAGACTTACCCACCTGGGAGGTTGGAGGGTTGTGCCAGAGCAGAGGGCTTGGAGGGGCAGAGAAGGGAAAGGCATTCCTCCTCTCTCGGTGAGGTTTTAGCTGAAGGAGGACTTGCACCACAATGGCAGAAGCAACAGCAAGGCCCAAAGTTTCTCACTGGTGAAAAACAGATAAACAAGGTGAAAGGCAGAGAGATGGGGCAGAGGTGGGTCCACCCTGTCCCTACGGGATGGCCAGTGCAGAATACAGGGCTGCTGACCGAGGGCACAAATGGGCTCTTCAGAGAAGAAAAATCAAGAGCAGGAAGGTGGGGGAGGAGAAGGAGGATCAGGAATTCAGTATCTCTTTCAGAAAAAAAAAAAGTTTAAATCATCAATGTCTAATTAGTGGACGACAGTCAAGGAAGGGTTTAATTAGAGCTTCACAGAAAGCTCCAGCTCAAAAGCCACTGTCCCCCCAGGAGGAAACTGGATCTAATTAAGAGAAAAGACTTTGCTTTATCGCAAATAGAAACGTAGCCATCTGCCCTGTTCAAAATCCCAGTAATGCAAAACTGGAGATTTTGCTAAATCCTTCTGTTATAAAACCAGAAATGGGCCTTTAACATGAGTGCATCAACAACTGTATGACTGACAGCACCCTGGTGCCACCCCAGTCCTCAAAATTAGCGGAGGAGCTCCTTCAGAAAGTCCCACGGGATGATGCTTACTTGAAGAGAAGTGGGCTGTGTGGGTGATCCCTCTCGTCCACCCTCCATGGAGGGCTGGTACAGGAGCAAGATGAAGGCACCTGGCTGATTTTGTGGATGCCTCCGTTCCAGTGACCACACAGCAGTTGTCTGCTGGAGAGCACAGGAATACGCCACCACCACAATGCACTGAGGAGGCTGCCCAGGGGCCTGAGGTTTCCTCCAATTCCCTAATTCTCTGCTGTAACGTAAGATGTGGTCACCTTGTGAGCTAACTCTGAGCTTTGAACAAAGTTGTTCTGGTATCCAGCGCTAATGCCAGAGTGAAAGACCCCAGCTGCCTCTGCGTGGCACCGCAGCCACGTGCCTCCCATGAGGATGGTCACTCTGAGCGGGTCCGGGGCTCTGTTTTCAGGGGGAGCTTCGGTTTTGTACTTAGAGTTTACTGAGTCAAAAGAGGCAGCCAGCTGAGCACACAGTCCCTCTTACACAGAAGGTGTGAGTGACCATGTTCGAAGATGTTTCCCCGTGCTTCAAGTCCGGCAGTCAGTGTGGTGAGACCTTCCAGCTCCCTTAGGCCAGGCACAAGCACGACACATGGGATGCCTTTCCACCCGGGGCTATGTCATTGACCACGGGGCTGGGGTTTGTCTTGATCAGTGGCACTTTGGAGTTAATTATGCCGTGTCCAGGCACCTTGCCCGATGGAGAATATGATAATACTGAGCCCTTCTGAGCCCTTTTCTCCTTTGGGAACCCCCTTCGGAGCTACACTCACCTCTTGGATGGGCCCTTCCCACCCACCAGCATGTGAACCAGGAGCAGAGGCAGAGCCTTGATCATCTTCTGCACCTGAGCTGCATTTGCGACCATCTGAGTGAGGACCCCTCACATGGCACAGCTGCACAGCTTCGTTTTGGCACATCCGTGGAGAGGAGTGGTTAGGAAGCCCATTGCCAACTGCCAGGCTGAGCACAGCTGAGCTGCGTGGTGTGGTGGTGTGGCTGCAGCCTTAAGGGAGAGCAGGGTCTGGCCCAAGTGAATGCCGCAGTACCAAAGCACTCCCTGGTGCTAACGGTGATGCGGTGGCTCTGCTGAGCCACGTCAGGACGGGCTCATCTTCCTGACTGGGACTTGCTGGAGAGCCAGGTCCTCTCAGAGAGAGTTTGAGGTTTCAAAAAAACTGTTTTCATGGATATAAAAGTAATTCATTGAAATTCTTCATGAAAAAATGAGAGACAGGTACCACTGCTCCAAACCAGCTAGAAGCGTAGCTGGGTCAGCTGCTGGGAATGAGGATGAAGTAGCCTCAAGCCCTTTCTCTGCCCAAGGGAGAAATGTTGCCAATATATGATCTTCCAGGTGAACCACTTCCACCTGCTGACCTTGCAGCAAAAAGAAGACATCACTGCAAGAAAAACTTTGCATTTGCTGAATCACTGGCTTCTGGCCCCAAAAAAAGCTTTCCTGAAGATTTCCCCTCTCCCTCCCCTGCCACTCCTGTCGTGCAGCGGGGACAGGAGCAGCGACACAGCACAGACCTCGTGTCCATCCAGCACCTTGTGCTCCACAGCAGCCAGCCCCGGGCTTTGGAAGGCAGCGTAAGCCTCCCGTAGTAGCTGTTAATGTGCCTACAAACCCACAGGGAGTGGCTGAGCCAGGCGTTTCGGAGCCGCTCGTGTCCTGGAGCTTACATCCCTTAACTGTTGTTCCAGATAAAGTAACTGTCAGTTCTGATTCATACAAACTCATAACTCTATTCTGAATCCTGCTGATTTGTTGGCTCAGAAACAGCCTGTGGAGCAAAATGCCGTAAGGGAGCTCCTGTCTGTGTAAATGGCCGGTGCTAGCTGTCCCAAGCACGCTGCCTTTAATTTTCATTTATTTCTGAGGGATTTCTATTTTTAGGAGAGCAGGGGGCTGTGTTTTTCCCCTTTTCTTTTGGGGCTCAGCTCTCAGGAGGTTTCCTAGTGAGAAGCAGCCCCTCCAGACCCCAAAGTCACAGCACAGCCCCTGTTCCCTCGGGGGTTCGGGGCTGGTGTGCAGTGCCCAGGGGCACCGTATTGGGGATCTCCAGTGGGGACCCCTGATGTTCTGACAGCACAGCATCATGGCAAGCAGCCGTGGACGCAGCGGAGCATATGGCACCCACAGCTTCCTCCTGCTTGGCACAAAGTAGATATGAGGGGCCAGGGAGTCACCGAAATACCCCCGGCAGAAGCATGTCTGTGGTGAAGGTGGGAGTGATGTGCATGAGGGCAGGGGACAGCCAGCTTGCTGACCCTAAGGGAGGGTGAGCTGCTGCCCGTGAGGCCAAATGCCTCACTGTCCCCAAGCCAGGTTTAACAAGCCCCTTTGGGACCTAGCAGTTGCTGGTTTTCTCCCAGTAACCTCCGCATTTTCCGGTTTTCAGTCCCTCATGTGTCCTGTGGCAGTGTGATGCTCTGCATGCCTGCGCTCAGGGGGAGGCCATGTTTCTCAACTGCAGGGCATGTCCTTAGCCCCTTCCACCCATGGTAGGTGAGAGTAGTAAAAGCCAGTGTTCACCCAAACCTGCAGACTAAACTAGACAGCAAAAGTGATTAAAAAATTGGGTTTGGATCCTGCAGGCACAACTGCACGGGACTGGGGCAGTGCTGGGATAACCGTGGTACTTGGCAAACACGCAGGTTACTCCAGTGGTCCAAATTAGCTAAATGCACCTTCTACCAGGGGATGTTATCCTGCCAGGAGGAGTCTCCTCATCTCTTTCTGCTAAAATCTCACTCCAGTGTTGCAGCCTGAGTCATAACATTGAATTCCCTTCAATTAATTTCTTTTGCAAGGATATCAAAAGCCCTTGAGATGCCCATTTCTTTTCTAGGAGACCCTGACGAGGGAGCACCAAGGAGTGCGAAGCCATGAACCAGCTGCAAAATCAAGCCAAGAAATGCTGGCTTCCCTGGGGCCAGAGCCCCAGCCCCAGCCTGATCCTGCAGGCAGTCCTGGAAACTGCAGTTTGTTCATCCTCCCTCCACATACACCCTGTCCCAGTGATCACCGAAGTGCCCAGTCTCAAATCTGTCTTTCCAGCTGGGAAAACTCCGGAAGAAAGAGTTGGAACCCAGGGCCTGGGGGAGGGATGGCAGCTGTGGTGTGTGACAAAGCAGCTGGCTGTCCTCGGTGCCATCGGCAGTGGGGACCGGCACCACACCCTCAGAAGAACGCGAATTAAAAGCAAAATGGAACGCAGTTGGGTTATTTTTTCCTCTTCAATAGTGGCTCTTGTAGGAGTCATCACTTCTTTGTGTTTTTCATGCGGTTGCAAGGCATAGAAATAGGCTGTTTTAAACAAAACCCAAGGTTTTCCTGCAGGTCTGCAAGGGACCTCGGGGCGTTTGGACGCAGGTGCTGGCAGAATGGAGCTGCGGGCAAAGGGATGGGCAGGCAGAGCTCTGTCCTTGCGCCCCTCAGACCTGCTGCGAGGGGCTTGTTGAAAAGGGCAGTGCTGAGGCCTGTCGACCATGTGGGGATCCCGTCCTTGTTCTTGCTCTGCACGTCAATGTCGCTCCTTGCTGCAGGCACAAGGAAGGTGTTTCCAGGACATTGGGCGGCCTGGGGACACACGGAAAAGGGAATTGCTTGTGACAGAGCAGAGGACTCAGCTTGCTGCTGGGAACGTGTAAGACAGATGGGAAGAGGAGAGCGCTGCACTGCTCTTTGCTGGGAGAGGACCTGCCTTCAGTGAGGGGCTCGTGGGAAGAGGCTGGTTGCCCTCGGGCAGAGGCATTTGGGTACATGCGGTCACTTGGGCACGCTCCTTTGCCCTGGTAGTAAATTTGTAGTTTAATTCTCTCTGGCAAACAGGGGCTGTGAGATCTTGGGCATTGCTCCTGGAGCTGCTCTACGGGCCAGGGCACAGGCTCCCCTTGTGCTGGTGCCAGTGCAGAGCGGGCACATGGGGACAGGAGGGACCAGGGCAGGCAGACACAGGCTAGAGCCAGCCCCAGTAGTCTAGGCAGCAGCCATCGCTGGCTGTCCCCCATGGCTGTGTTATTCAACCCGCTGCACCGGTGGCTCACATGCTGTGTTTTTCCTGTGCCTTTCTGAGCTGCTCTCTACTTTCACCTTAAACCCTGTCTCTCGTGTCCTCCATGAGTGCTGCAGCCCTCCAGCATGTTAATCCACTGCCTCCTGCATCACTGCCCTGTCCTGCAATGTTTGGGACCTGCTGATATCCTGGGAGACCCTCACACATGCACCTGTGGTGTTTGCAGAGCAGTGAGGTCTCACTGAGCTCCTGCTTTATCCAGGCAGCTGGATCCACCCAGAGCCCAAATAAATGCTCAGACATGCAGAGGAAATACCAATGCTTGCAGAGTTTGAGGGAAAGATGGAAGGGCTGCTGTTCTGGTTCTGTGAGGGACCAACTGAAGGCTGTGCACGAAAGCCGGGAGCCCGCCCAGGCCCTTGCTGGTGCAGGTAAAATTGGCACCTGATTTCTTTTTTTTTTTTTTTTAAACTTACATTTGCCTTCTGCCACCCTGGAGTGCTGTCTTGTTCTCTTCTGCACTGAGAGGGGCCATTGCTGAGGGCTGCTGCCCACCCAGGCAGCTGGAGTGCTTGCCTTGCTGCTTGCTGTGCTTTCCTCCAGCCTCACCGTGTGCTTGCAGCTCTTTTCTCCTCCTCACTGATTTCAGCAGTGCTGTTACAGCTGTGCCCATTTCCAGGCTGGGTTGTGTCAGCCTGACCAGCACTGCAGGGGAAAAACCACCCCCTTGCTGGGGATGGCCACAGAGCACTTTTTTCACAGCTGCACTGCACCGGGAGCTCAGTGGATCCTAAAATCCTCTTGGCAACTCTGCTTTCCCAGGAAGAGTCCCCAGTACAGGTCTGCCGCCCTTCCTTGTCTTTAATTTGGGCCCTCGGCTAAATTAAATGCCATGTAGCTCAAAGGTGCCCAGGTTAGCAGGCAGGCCACGTTGCTCCTCACCATTTACCATGCAGCACACAGCATCAGTGCTGATTATATGTTTCCTTCCAGAGGGGGTGGGTTTGGGTTGGTCCAGTCCCAGCGGGCAGGGAGCTCCCCCAGACGTGTCAGTGCTTGGCTGGGAGTCCCAGGTGACGATGTGCTGGAGGTGCTGGCTTGTCGGCTCCTCGTGCTTGCACCACACTGTGCAGTCATGCGGCACTGGATGGCACTGGGGCTGTGTATGGTGGTAAATCATCTTGCAGAGCTTGCCTCTGTCTGCAAAGACACTTTTACCAAGCAGGTTTGTAATGTGGACGGAGGCAGCAGAGACCAGGCAGCAGCTGGTGGGTGGTATTATGTGCCAGTGTGTGGGCTGCTGAGGGCGACTCGCCTCCACGTCCCTGCCCTTTCCTGGGGAGAGCAGTCAGCACAGCTCATCGGGATGCGAGGGCTGTGCCGAGTCCCGGTGGGATGCCCTGTGCCAGCCCTGAGCTCTCTTGCCAGTCAGACCACCTGCTGCCGTGGCAGCACTCATGTCTGGCAGGGTGTTTGCTGTCCCTCCAGCAATAAAGGATGGGGAGGTACCTTGTTACTTGTGCGGGCACAAGCCTCTCGGTTCTTCCCTAACCCAGGACAAAAATACTTGCAGGGCACCCCAGCCACTCTCCAACATCATTAGTATTTTTAGCCTTCCCAGCTGATACGAGGTGAGGAGCTTTTGTAGTTGCTGTAGTTAGAAAAAAATGTCACCTCCTTACCTTGGCAGTCATGGGCTTTGTTTCGGCATTTCCCTTCCTGTTCATCCTGGTACTCCCTGACATCTCCCTGCTCAGTGCGGAGTGCGCGGGACGGAGGCATGCTGAGCAAGTGACCCCGCTGGGAGTGGTGCCTGCAGGCTGTAAGATGGTCGGGTGCGGGGGCTCCTGGGGACGACGACCCTCTTGGCAGGCAGCATCCCTGCCCACAGCGTGCCGGTAGCTCCTGCCCACACGCAGGGAGCCTGTGGTGATGAGGAAAGCCCGTGGGGAACCACTGATCCTATGGTTCATGCTCAAAGAAACCAAGACCCTGAAGTCTCCATCTCTCTGTGGGCCAGGTTTGGGGCAGCCACGTGCAAACGCAGTCCCCTGGGGCTGCCAGGGCAGCAGTGGCTGTCACCCACCATGCCGCCTGGCTGTCGTGGGGCCAAGGTGGGCTCCCTGCTGGGCACAGGCTGCACTGGCCGGGGGGCTCAGAGCCCGGCACTGCCACCCCTCTGTCCCCTCTGATGCTTTCCCTCCTCTCCCCCTTGCAGCGCTCTGCCTGGTGCTGGGCTGCATGATCTTTCCCGACGGCTGGGATGCAGAGACCATACGGGACATGTGCGGAGAGAAGACGGGGAAGTACTCCCTGGGAGACTGCTCCGTGCGCTGGGCTTATATCCTGGCCATCATTGGCATCCTCAACGCCCTCATCCTTTCCTTCCTGGCCTTTGTCCTCGGCAACCGGCAGAACGACCTGCTGCACGAGGAGCTCAAGACAGAGAGCAAAGGTGAACGCCGTGCTGTCAGGGGTCCCAGCACCCGGCGCCACGGCCCTGGGGGGGATCCTGGGGGGAATAGCCCAGGGGGTTTGGCCCCTCTGGCAGCCTGCAGCCATGCGAGGGTCCTGTGGGCTTAACTGCCACCTGCAAAGCCAGGCAGGCCGGGCAGGGTGGGAGCGGGCTGCCGAGCCCCTGCCCTGCCTGACGCTCTCTCTTCTGTTTCCACAGATTTTGTCGGCACTGCGGTAAGTCCTGAGTGTCACTCTCCCATCCCCTAGCCCTGACCGTGTAGCGTGTCTGGGTGTGACTGTGCTGGGTGGCCCCACGTGGGATGGGCAGGGATGGGATGGGGGGCACTCTAGCTGTGCGGGGCAGTGGGATTGGGGGCAGTGGGGACAAGGGGGCAATGGGGAAGGGAGGCAGCAGGGTTGGGGACAGGCATGTGCATGGCACATGCCGGGGGCATGATGGCACAGTGAGGCCTGCCCAACACCGTCCCCGACCTGCTGTGCTCTCCCTGCAGAGGATATAAGGCCGAGTGCCCACAGCAGGACCTTCTTCCCACGGCCGGCAGCCTGGGCACTCCCTCCCCATCCTGCCCTTCGTCTGCTGCCAGCGGCCACGCAGCATCCCGCGCCGCCCCCTGGGCCCCGCTGCCTCCACCGGGGATGTGCCGGCTGCCCGCCGCGTCTACGGCCACCTCCATGTCCACGCCGGCACCGCCATCCCACGCACCCTGCCAGCTCCGCACCCCCCACTGCCTGCGGGCCGCTGCCGGGGCAGGATGCCCCAAACCTGCTTCGTTCGAGAACAGCGTCCAACTGAGGTTTTGTTTCAAGGAAAAAACAGTCTCAGAGTTTTTAACAGATTTCTACATCCCCAGGACTCCCAACCTGCTGTCTCCCACCTGAACGCGTGCCCAGTGACGCCCCGCACCAGCTGCTCCGGGCCCCGGCCCCCTCCCTGCTCCCATTTTGTACAGCTCCGTGATCCTGTCTCCACAGCCGGGGGACCTGGCAGCCGGGACAGGGCCCAACCCCTACTTTTACGTGTAAATTCATATTCTCTAAACAGGGTAAAGTGACTCGAGCCCCCTCGCCCCCTGCCCCAGGACGTGGTGTTGCCTGGCATGTGGCCGGGGCTGCAGGCTGCTGCCTGCTCCCCACCCAGCATGGGGACTGCAGGGGCCTCGCTGCTGCCGGCCACTGGGACACCCGACTCGCACCGCTGCTGAATGTAAGCCCTGGTAAGTGGGAGCAGCTGAACATGCAAAACCCCCGGGCAGGTGCAAGAGGACCCCTCTGCCAGCCCCCTCCCTGAGCCAGCTGCGGGCTGTTGCCAAACACCTTCCCTCTCCATCCCCATACGGTGCTTTATCTCCACTGGTGATGGCAAGGCTCTCCCTGCCACACAGTGTGGCCGGGGGGTACCCGGGCACTCCTGTGCCCGTGCCGGCATCCTGGCCATGTCCCCTGGCTGCACCTCGCTGGCCCGTGGTGATGGCCTGCAGGGAGCCGGCGGCAGCTGCCCGGGGCAGCACTGAGCCCCAGCAGCCTCCGAGCATGACCCAGCCTCAATTGCACACACACAGCACCCAAGAGCCGGCACAGACACCCCCGGCACCCCTCCCTGGCACGGGTGGCCGCAGCCCGGCTGCGGCTCTGCTGGCCAGACCGGCACGTGTGGGCTTCCCCAGGTCCCGGCCACAGGGGGCTCAGGTCACCGCAGCCCTTGCAATGCAATAAAGTCCTCAGCACTGGCCGCGTCTCAGCACGAGTAGCCGGGGGCTGTTTGCAGGGCCCCCAGCTCCCTGGGGAGCGACAGCCCAGGGGCAGAGCTGGACCCAGTGGGAGCGGGACCGAGCCAGGCACAGGGAGCAGAGCGGGACCGTGACCCCGGGATGGGCAGCCCTGGGGCAGAGGAGCTGCCGCCAGCGGGGCAGGGCACGTGGAGGCTGCTGGGGGATGGCAATGAAGGGCTCTGCTGGAACCATCGCCCAGCCCAGTGAGCCAGGGCGCCCAGGGCTGGTGGGAGCAGGTAAGTCGTGCCCTGAGGCCCTGCGGGGCGGCGGTGAGGGATGGAGCTGTGCCGAAACACCAGCTGGGAGCCAAAGTCACTTGGGACGGCGTGGGTGCTGGCGCTCCTGCCAAGGGCCTCTGCCAGCCACGAGCCCGGTGGTGCCCGCGTCCCTCCGGCAGCCACCCCCCCATGGAGAGGGGCCAGCAGGAACCCCCCGCGCCCGGCCCCGGCAGCGCCCGGGTCTTGCCAACTTGTGAGTGCTGTTGCCGGCTGAATTGGAAAAACAAATGAAGAAAATCAGTGGAGAAAGGAATACAGTAGCTGTAATATATCTGTATTTTAGTACAAAGTTTGATACGGTGTTTCACAAAACCTTATTGAAAAATATAATTCAAACCAGACAAGCTCGGAGCCCTGTGGTGTGGGGAGGATTGGGACGGGCTCCTTGAGGCATGGCTGATAAAGACAAGATGGTTTGCAAGGAGGTCGAAGGACCTGGCGTGGGCGCTGGCCCCGGCACAGCTACATGGCCTGGGGAGAGCATCTGGGTGGGCATCAGAGCTGTGGTGGGGAAGGGAGGGTGGGGAGCCCACCCTGCGCCCCATGGGGCTGAGCCTCTGTCCGTGCAGGCTGGCATGTGAGGGGGGTGTCTGGCCAGAGCCAGTCCCCAGGGAACAGGTCTATCCCACCCTGTGGCAAGGCAGGAGGTGGTGTGGGGGTTCCTGTCTAACCCTAGGGGTGTTTCAACCCTCCCCTTCTGCCCATCCACGGGTCCCCGCAGAGCCGCGGTGCACTGACACAGGCTGGTAGAAGCCTCCTGAAATTCAGCAAATTCCTGCGTCTTGATGGAAAAAGAACTCACATGGCCCATCAGTCCAACAGCGTGCTCTGGTAGAGGAGCAGGGGCAGCTTTCCAGGCTGTGCGAGCACAAGGGCAGCCTGGGGACCTCTTGGACATCTGGAGAGCTTTGGCCAGCTCTGGCATTCTCAGTACAGGACACACAGCCCAGGCGAGCCTGGTGCAGGCACAGGGCACGGAGGCCGAGGGTTGGGCTTGGTCAGCGTCTGGGAAGGAAGGGGAAGAGGTCATCGCTGCCTGCAGCTGCTTTGGGGGAAGGCATAGGGAGACGCAGCCAGACTCTTCTGGGGGACGCATAGGGACAGGACGAGCCACAACAGACACCATCCCACAAGGTGTCAGGGTGAACGTTTTCACAGTGAGGGCAGTCGAACACTGGAGACAATAGGCACCTCAGACGTGCCAGCTTTGAGGACTGGCACTTGGAGGCACACCTGGCGGGCCCCACTCCAGGCTCAGCCCACCTCAGGCTTCCTAAGGAAAAGACAAACAGTATGAGAACTAAAAACCCCAGGCACCCATGCACCAGAAACCAGGTTTTGAAGCAGGTGCAGTAGTGCAGGGGACATCCTCCACCCCATCTCCTCCCCAAATGAACTTGAGCAAGAAGAGCAGCAGTGCAGCCACAATCTCACAACCCCAGCCGGGAAGCTCGGGGAATTTCTCTTTCCTCAGGAATGGTAGCTCCCAGAGCAGCCCCTGGCTTCACCCAAAATGCTGACAAAAGGGAGGTCTGCAAGGCTGCTCCTGCAAGGTTTCATTTACCTGGCAGGGACAGGGAAGAGACCCCAACGTGCACCCCCCCTTGCCCCACAGCCTGGGCACCAGCGCTCAAGGTGGTACGGAAACAGAAAGAAACTTTCAAATATACTGGTTTTCAAGTTAAGTATTTTTATTATCAAAATTATTACATCTCTTGTGAAAGTTCAAATGTTACAGCATGGTGTAAAAACTCCACTAGAGTAAGAAGCTACAGGCCCCACCTTTCCAAGAGCTTTCCAGGGTCCCTCCCTCCAGCCCCCCTGCTGCGCCCGAAGGTGCCGGAGCCTCTAGGCAGAGCCCCCCTGGCTCCCTCCCGCCACCCGGCAGGGCAGAGCCCGCCTGCCCCGTGCTGTTCAGAGCACGAAAGGGGAGGTCTGCACCCCCAGGGCTAAGCCGAGTGAAGTTTACACCTATTTTATACAGTATACAGACACCCAACTGTGGGGTGACAAGTTCCATCCCAACACGCTCACAGCCAGACAGTGTGAGAAAATTACTCTTTGTTTCAATATTTTAAAAGTCTCCCCTAGGTTGAACAAACACCTGATTTCAATTGTGAATTAGAGAAACCTGTAACAGTCCTAAAAAAAGGAAGAAGACTGTGCATCTGAAAAGACAGGGGAGACAGACTCACAGCATTATGTTATCCAAGAGAAAGGAGAAGTTCCACTGCAGCACCAGGGATGACACCTGTCGTATATTAGCTAACCTACTATGGTTATAACTGAATATAAAATTAGATAAATAAAAACACGCCCGATATTACAGTAAACAAGTGAGAAAGAAGCTGGCAATCATATGGAATTGAACAGACAGCGCACTGTGTCTGGGCTGGCTCTGCTGCCACGCTTGGTGGGTGACGGCATGTCCTGGTTTCAGCTGGGATAGAGTTAATTTTCTTAACAGCCGACACAGCGGCTGCAAAGACAAGACATCCCGCACTGAGAGCCTCTGGCTCGGCACAGACCGGGGTCCCCACTGAACACCTAACCACCGCCTCTCTGCAGCCCCCTGCACGCCACAGCGTCACTTTACTTACTAGGCCCCCCGGTCACCCCCCCAGCGTGTCTGCGCACCAGCAGCCAGAGACCTCCCCCCGGGCACGGTGGCATGTGGCAGCACCGCCCCAGCAATGCTCCCGTTCACAGACCTGCGACGGACGCGGTGATCGCGCCCCGTCAGAGCAGCACGCGACAGTGCATCCCAGATCCTTTGCAGCGTCAGGCACACACACTCCAACCCCCTCCCTGTGCTAGTTCACATTTGCGGAGACTCTGTTGTCCTGGAAAAAGCTCCGACCACGGCAGTCATGACCCAGGCCCAAAGGCAGCCGTGTGCGCTCATCTGCTTGTGACTGGAATGATCGTAACGGATTAAAGCCCTCCCCAGAACGCACTGAGAACCTGACCTATAAAGAGAGCTTTGGGATTGGAGTTCAACTTCCCCCAATGTTTTCTTTAAACTGCTTTCGTATTCAAAAAGATGTCCGTACTACATGAGTGACTATGGCCATGGGCACGGACAAGAGACAGAGGCTGCACCACAGTCATTGCACTTGAACCATTTGCTTTTTTTTTTCTTGGTTTTTTTTTGTTTGTTTGTTTTTTTGTGTTTTGTTTTTTTTTTGCAATGTACCCACGCGTCAGGGAACAGCTTTGCTACAGTCTCTGCCTCAGAGAAATCTGCGTTCTCCTACAAGGCCAGAGGCCAATACTGCTCACAAATCTCACCCGTGCGTTTCAGACCTCAGCCTCTGACCCCTGGCACCCCAGCATCGGGTGCAAGCTCCCAACACTGGCCCAGGAGCCACTTCCAGAGGTGACTGGAAGAAGCTATGGGCAGTTTTGTCCTCCTGGAGACCAGGCAGCCCTAGGAAAGTCCTGTTTGAGTCTTTACTCCAGAACCTTGAAGCTGCTGAAGTCTGTACTGATGGACACTGCTTCCCCCACGGTGTGGATAGTGTTGTGCATTAGAAATCACTGCCCCCCGGGAGCCCTGGTAGAGAACAGACTGACCAGAATTCGGTAGACTGATAGTCCGCAAGTCTGACTGTAGTGACCTAGCACTTTGGGGAGCGGAGGTGGAGCCCGACGCACCTGTGCAGGGCTGGGAGCCCGACTCAGAGGAAAGAGAGTCCACAGCTGTCTGCTGTGCTGGGCTGGCAGCAGCAGGGCAGCTCTTCTTCAGGAGGCTGCCACTGCCGCTGCCAGAGTGCTGCTGGCTGCTGTAATACCCCGAATTCCCTGCAAACAGGGCAGAGGAGTCTGTGGAAACCGAGTGGGCAGGGCTGGAGTACGAGGTGGAGGAGAAGGATGTTTCCGAGGAACCATGAGAGAGGCTATGTCCTGTCCTCTGTGCTGCTGCTCGATAGCTGTATCCAGGAGATGGAGTAAGGTGTCCTCTGTAGGGGGAGGAACTCTGCTGGAGAAGGGTCTGCGATTCTGCCTGGGGACTGTCAGACTGCAGGAGCTGAACAAGTCGGTGGAGGGGGGGAAAGAAAAGGCATGTCAGACTGACTTCCCTATTTCCTACCTCCTTCTCATGCCAAAGGTGCTTAGTGTAGCAGGATTGGGAATAATTGGCAGCCAAACCCAGTTTCCCCCCCTAATCCTATTAAAAGCTTTATTTCAGAATGGGCAGATAATATATGAAAGAATTTACCTGGTAGCTGTATCGAGAAGGACTGTAAACTGCTGGTCCTGGTCCTTTGTGGGCTTCTGGAGTGTCATCTCCTGCTGTGTCTGCAACATACAGGCAAGATGTTAAACCTCACCCTCTGGGCTGAGGCTACAGCAGCTCCCTCTCAAATGACACCCACACACACCCCAGCTGTCTTGTTCTACATCCAGCTACAGCTGAGAAAAGAGCGACTTCTCCAGCCATCAGCATTTCAGAAGCTGAAGAAACTTAGCAAAAGGCAACGGGAAAACCTTAACATGTATAAACTAGCCATACACGTTAGGAACTGCTGCTTCCCTTACACCAGCTCTCTGGTTTAGCACAAAGTTCACCTGCCTTGGACCAGCCTATCTGAATGGCCACATCTGGTGACAGCACCCAGATGCAGCGTGGGCTCTCTTGGCTCTTCAGAAGGATATGAGAGACAGAAGACAGTTTCTAAGGACTCAGCAATTCTCCACTCAGCATTGGTCACAGGAATCCACACTGGCTACAGTTACAGCTGGGGAGACAAAATTGTCCCTTCTTAGATGGTTGTCAGCAGGATCCTGCTGCAGGTTTTACCTCAAAGGCAGATCCAGACACTGCCAAAGACTGAGGTCCTGTGCTGCCAAGGCTGACAGCACCCCTGCTGCCGTTTTGGGGATTGCGCTTTACAAGTCAATTGAGCTGCTCCAAATGGAGTTACTCTTAGACCTCAGAAATGCCTATTTTTGAAACAGGCCAAGATGATGAAAATACTTTGAGATTTGAAGGGTACCAGCAGCACAGTACACACTGATTCACCTTATTTATGCGAGAGATCAAGAGGAATAAGCTGCTTCTCGACAGAGCAAGTCTTTCTAGCACCTGTATCTTAGTTAGAGGATGAGAGTGAGCTTCTTGTCTTACCAATTAACTGAACCTGAACTGGGGTAGGCAAGAAGTACTTAACTGCAAATGACCCAGCCACTTTGCCATGTGTGTTTTTCAGTTGCTACTACTGTAAACATGGGGTTCAGCTGGCAATCATGCTTTCTTTAGGAGGGAGTGAAACTGGGACTAGAAGATTTCACACCAGTTATGTTGCAGTCTAATGAGACAGAACTGTTTATCTGCAGCATCTCAGGGATTCTCAGCAGCCGTGTTTGAAACACCTTGGTGAAACAGTGTTGGTATTAGTATCAAATTTATGACAGACGTGTCTCAGTCATGAAACAGGACACGCTGCCTTAGTCTGCTCTATACTTCTGCCAGACAGGTCTGGCTTTGCACCAGATGCACTGGCACAAGCATCAGTGTCAGCAGTGGCCATGGCTTTGCTGTGGTTGTCCTCTCTGTGCTACATCACAGATGCTGGCTTAGCTAAACAGGAATCTGGATAGAGGTGTTGTGTCTGCTGTTAAGGCTCAGAAGCTTTCTTCGCAGGGCACAGGACCTGCACAGAGACCAGGGCATGAAGCTTCCAGCACGTGTCCTGTGCCACCTTCTGTTTTCTGAAATGACATCTGATGCATCAAGTAGCTGTTTGCTCTAAGTGACATTCTGAGTACTGCACTGCAGAAAGGCAAAACTTGTAAGTTCGAGGCATGTTTTGTTAAGCAGTTATGCATAGAAGAGACTAACTGTTCAATCCAGGAGATCATTGAGATTAGCAGAAGTTGAGTGTGAGAAGCAGAAGAAATCTAAAGAATTCTGTAAGAAATTGTTTCTTAAAAGGCCAGACACACCAGGAGGGCTGCACAACTCACTGGAAGTGCCTGTTGACAGAAAAAACCTTGACAAGGTAAAGACTATCAAAAGATTCTAAATTACAAAGGGTAAATAAACTGTAACTTTCCTGAATCTGCTTTATGTAAACTTAAAGATAAAGCCAACATTTCCCTCTTCCATTTCTTAATACCTGCACAAGGAAGGACATAAAGAACTGCTTTTCTTGGCAGTACTGGCCTGTATCAACCTAAAGCATATATGAAGTGACAGCTTTAACTGAGAGCAGCTGCAGGTCTCAGAAGCGTGGCATGCACACAAATTCCATTTCATTCCTACATGCCCCATCAGCAAACCATCTCGAGTTTGGGGTTTTTAGTTTCCCTCATATTATTATCTGCTATAGCATCAAGTAAACATGTTATCTTCACAACTCCTACAGGTGATACCAGGAATGGCAGGGACTCAGCCACTCATTTGTTTCACTAAGAAGCAGACCAGCAACTGGGGGAGGGAAGGTGGCTCACAGAATCTAAACAAGAATTTGAACAAGCTACCAAAGAAATTGCCAGAGTATGCAGAAAGAGAAAAAAATATTTTGCTGTGCTAGGATGAAAGAGACAAAAAGACTTTTGTCAGCTATAGCATTAAGTGTTCACAACTTGGTGTGGGATGGGTTTTATGTAACAAGAAAGAAGAATGGAATGATGCAGATGGAAGTTTAACTCCAGCCTAACTCTTGGGTGAGACTGAAGAGCCAGAGCTGCACAGTTTACAGTTGGCAAAAGGCCTGTTGCAAGAGCCTGGATTTTGCCTACCTTTCTAAAAAATAACCACCAAGAAAGCCACTTTCACTGGCATGAGAAAGACAGGAAAAAGACTCCCAGTGGGGTTCCATGAAACCATGAAATTTTTGGTAGGGTAGAAGATTCCCCCTCAAGACTAGATGAAGAAAAAGCATTGATAAGAGGAGTGCTTGTGTGTACAAAAAATAGGAAAACCCCAGATGAGAGGCCAGTTTTCAAAAAGTGGTCTCAAATACACCTTACTCCAAATGGGGAAAAAAGTCTGATTTGAAATGAAGTAAATACATACTTGCCCTAAAATGCTCAGAAATGAGATACCCCAAAGGCAAAAGTTGCTGTTGCTGCTGAATCACCCAGAGAGTGCTCTGTGATAGCGTGAGTTAGAGGCTCTAGTCTTTCCATGTCTAAAATACCACATGAATAGGCTCTGGCATCCAGAGATTCAGATCCCTACTACAGATCGTCAGGAAGCTCTAATCATACCAGCCAGGAGTCTCTAACAACAGTCCTCAGCTATGAGGAAGTAGGGGCTGATGGCAACACACAGACTAAGTTATTTAAATATGATGATCCATCACTGTTAAGTCCCAAGTGCAACCAGGGTTCTGATGGCACTATCTGTTAGGGAAAAACAATCATGTTCAACAGAGACTGCAAAATAAATAAAAGAAAAATAACTCCATTTCACAGCTGAGAAATTAAGCAACAAATAAGTGATCTGTCCATCTCTCAGGAAGTCACATCTTACCTTTAGATCACAGATGGATAAAAGAGGAGTATAATTTCAGCTCAGGTTACAAATACTGACACTGCATGCTACTGGGTGAGGACAACGCTTTACTCAGAGAAGAACGGAACATCAACACAGAACTGAATTCATCTCAGTAACAAGGTGCATTTCACAAAACTGACAAATATCATAATTCAGGACATCAAGTAATTTTAAAAAGAACTAAAGTAAGGCTTGGAAGCTGAATTATTTCTTAGCACTGCCTAAAGCGTATACCTGCATTTTAGTGTGATAATACATTTAATCCACATGTTCAGCCAACTAGAATTATTAAATGATAGCACTTTCACCCCCAGAACATAGGGGCAATTGAGGCAGTGCTGCTTAACCCATCTGTCCAAGGACAAAGAAGTTGTCCCTGCCAGAGCCAAGATGCAGGTAGTCTTGAATCCAAACCCTGGAGAAACCTGGAGGTCTTCCAGGTCTAACGGAAGAGGGATATAGGCTCAAGCAATATCTGAATAACAATAAGGTATGGTTTGCAGAAGGGTCTTATAAGGCATTGATAATGTTAAAGATGAAGGTACAACTAACTTCATAGACAAGTCTGCAAAGTTATCTGAGCCCATCATTTCCCACCAACCAAGTGTTCAAAAGTTTCATCTTCCTACCTGCATCTCTCTCAACAGCACTGTCACAGGTAGGTGAGGATTCATTTCTCTGGGATACCTTTGCACCACTACGCAGCACCTTCTCAAGTATGCCTCGGCCCTCTCGAAGCCTCTCCACCGATGTTGGGACCATCCTGCAACAAAAACCCAGTAACAGCTGAGGATTGCTATTATGCAGCTGAGAGTGATGTGACCAATGCACAAGGGGGCTGTGGGGTCCTTGGTATAATCACAAGACAGTCTTTAAAGTCTCTGCTTAAATTCACTGGTATTATGTTAGTGCAAATGCAAACCCCTACCACAGAAGGGAGGGATCAGAGACCACCAGCTCTCTAGGCAGATGAGGAACAAACTTCTGAACTCCTTTTGCAATGTAAATAACCTCCTGTGGGATTTTAGACTGCCAGTCACTGGCTACCATGATAGCACTGCCCTCAGAAAAACAAAGTCCTTACTCTTATCAAAAACATGGTATAAACATCCTGTTCAGTAGATCACCTGATTACAGGACACCTTCTCCCAGAAAAAATGTTTCGAGATTCAACAGCATTTTGAAAATCTTGGTATTGTTTTAAGATTAGATGCAGTTATTTTGCATAATTACTTTTATTCAAACTAAAAAGAAGCAAACCCAATACCTTTATGATAATACAGTGTCAAGACAGTACAGTCAGATAATGCAACATTCCTGGAGCAGAGCTAGCTTGGCTATTTTGCCCATTAATGCTACTTTGTCCTGTTTATTTTGTAATGTGAAAACTCTCCGCTCAAGATTGGTGCTAGATCTTGTTCCATTATATATTACAAGTGTCTGGTCTGAGGGTGAAAAAGAGGTGAAGTGGCTTTCCTAAAGCCAATCTGTAGAAGAAAAACAGAGCCACAGACAAACCCCAGACCCCTGCGTCAATATTCAATCTACCATGCACAGGACCATCCAAATCTTTTCAGAAACACATGTTTTAACCTATAAGATAGTAGCACCTTGACCAGGGATTCACAATGCCTTTACCCTAGACACTGAAGAACAAGCGCCTTAAAAATGCCTGAATTTAAATATTTAGTATAATATTAAGCGCACTGCATACCATGTAAGCATGCAGCTTAACACCATATTAACAAATTTCTGTATTTCATTTTTTTTATTTTAAAGATATATTGAAAACTGTGCTTTACATTAGCTTTTTTTTTTTTTTTTAAAAAATGTATAGCCCAGACATTGAAGTTCACCCCTCACTGAAGCAGAAGGGAGAAGGGGCCAGAGTTCACACCTCATGGAGGTGAATGGGGTGAGGGGGTGAATTCACACCTTCGTTGCTGCTATTGTTTTGCTGGAGACAGTTTTCTGCAAGGCTGGGTTTACTGGGCAGCAGCACATCTGTTTACATTGTGATGGCTGTATCTTGGCAACTGAAAGAGACAGAAACTTAATTTTTTTTAAATGAAAGCTATTGGCAATTATTGTAGAATTCAGCAAAAATCTGGACAACTCTAAAAATTAAGGCATGTAATTTTAGTTCCCACCATTTTCTTCTGTCCCTAATATTACACTATTGTGAATGTCTGGAAATGTATCTGAAATGTAAGCACTCAGAGTTAAAGATGAAATTGGGTCACAACTTTAACTCAGTAACATGCAGTTTCTAATACAATTTTGAAAAGTAGAAGGTGACTGTACGTTTGTTAGCCTTGCCCATTAAAACACAGAAGAACAAAAATTTAAAAGGCAGCAAATCTGCTTAATCCCATTTCAAAACGTATCAGCATGGTTTCAACTTTATATCCAGTGTCCCATAACAATACGATCTTTATTCCCATACAATACTTACTCATGAAACCATGTGAGAAACTGGAGCTAGAGCACCTGCTGAGGAGCAGCAGATGAAGCTCACAGAATATAAAACATGGTACTAGAGCAAGGCTGCCACAGTGACACCTCACCCCAAACTATTTTTATTTTTTTTTCATTTGGTTAAGGTTTTTCTTTCACCCTTTTACAGGCAGAAGGAAGTGGCACAGGTGAAGAAGGACATGGGATATCAACACTTGTACAGAATAATATTTGATTATAAAGTAATGATTATAAAACTAATCATCAGCTGACTGCTTCAGCTGTGGCCAGTCCCAACATCTGGCAGAAGGTCATCTGGTAGACAGAGTACTGTCAGAGAGGTAAAGACAAATGATTTCTATTGATCTCTGCTTGAAGTCTGATGGAAAAGTGAAGAAAACCGATCTTATTACTCCTGCAAATTCACCCAAAACAATGTGTCTCAAGCACTTTCAACATAGACTTCATACTGCTCACTGTCTTCAGCATTGCTTAGCATCTCTTCCCTTACCATCCCCCTGCCATTACACGAGCAGTGACACAGCTACGCATGTGGAGAATCAGCATTGAAAAAGGTATGCCTTTTTGCCTGTGGTGTGCACGAACAGAACTTGAACACAAAGCAGCAGAGCCAGCGTACTACACAGCTCCAATCAGCAGAACAACTTAAACATCACTGCATCGACTCTATAATGCAATACTCTGCACTTCAGTGCTGCAGTACTTAATATTTTGGACCAGTGTCCTGGTTTCAGCTGGGATAGAGTTAATTGTCTTCCTAGTAGCTGGTATAGTGCTATGTTTTTGAGTTAGGTATGAGAAGAATGTTCATAGCAACAACTGAAAACATCAGTGTGTTAAGTAATGTTTAGTCTAAAGTCAAGGATTTTTCAGCTTCTGATGCCCAGCCAGCAAGAAGGCTGGAGGGGCACAAGAAGTTGGGAGGGGACACAGCCAGGGCAGTTGACCCAAACTGGCCAATGAGGTATTCCATACCGTGTGACATCATGCCCAGTATATAAACTGGGGGGAGTGGGGGCAGGGGGGATCGCCACTCAGGGACTAACTGGGCATCAATTGGCAGGTGGTGAGCAATTGCATTGTGCATCATTTGTATATTCCAATCCTTTTATTATTACTATTGTCATTTTATTAGCGTTATCATTATCATCATTAGTTTCTTCTTTTCTGTTCTATTAAACCGTTCTTATCTCAACCCAAGAGTTTTTACTTTTCCTGATTTTTCTCCCCCATCCCACTGGTGGGGTGGGGAGTGAATGAGCAGCTGCATGGTGCTTAGTTCCTGGCTGGGGTTAAACCATGACAACCAGACATTACTATCAGGTTCAAAAGTTTTTGAAGACCAGCCTGTCTCCTTAACAAACCTCATAGTAACATGATAAAGGTGGTTTTTCCATGCCTTTGGCAAGCCACCGACTGCAATCTGGTAACTGCTCTTCAAGCTGTGTGTGCAAGACATTAGGAAAGCTGGAGTTGTTTCACTGTCCCTGCTTCTCAAATGCAAAGTTGCAGAGGGCTCTGTTAGCTTTCCTTCTGAATAGGAGTTGACTTTGTATGACTCGTGTCCAAAAAGAGTGGAGGTTCAGCAGGAAAAGACCTGGATTAAATTTTCATCGCAAGAGCAAGACCTTCAGACCTGAGACCTTAAAAGTAAACTAGGGGAAGAGAGAGACAACTGTTTAACTTCGTATCTTTCAAGACAGATTTTTGATATCTAAACCAAGAACTAAAGGGCAGGCTGAGAAGGCTGCTGGTATCCTTCATGGCTGTTTAGCAATTACAAAAGAGAACAATGCCAAGAGACCCGACTGAATCCATCCAACTGCACATATTGTTATGGAAATGCCTCCTAGAGAGTATGATCCTTCTCTGTGGAGCAATCTCAGGCTTGCTTGGAAGGATAACACTCACCACCTACTGCTGATGCTCTCCTGGGATTTGCTGAGTGATGTTGAGGAACTAGCCCCCCTCAAGTCTGGTGGGCTGATGTCCTCTACATGAGGCAGGGAGGGATGAGAAGGGGAGAAGCCACTTTGTGGGGAGGACGGGGTTCGTACTACGGAACCCGGCAGGCTGTTGCCATCTGTGTCAGTCACAGAACTGCTGCTGCCCTGTCGGGTAGGAGTCCCTGTACATCGCATTGAATCGCCTCCCTCCTTGGCTTCTTGTTTCCGCTTGCGGTATTCTAGTAGAGATACCTGGGAGAGAAAAATACAGCCATGAGTCAGGGAACGCAATGGACTAGGATAGGGGGAGGAACACACCCACACACCATTTTAAAGATCTATTTCTCTGGGGTTGCAGATAAAACTTTAAAAGGTATACTGGCATTATAAAATCTTCCCAAAACTGCAGAATTTTAACCTGCTTAAAGCAGGTTCCTGCTATGGTGGTATTGAAAACTTCCAGCACTACCACCTGAACAAACTACTTTTGGCAAAGGTAGAATGCATTTTGTGCAAAACAGTCTCAGATTTGTCAAAGACACAGACCAAAAGGTCCCAGATAATGTAGTCTCGTAACACAGGGACAGCAGAACCAAAAATGCACAAAAATTTCCAGCTGAGCACTTACCTTTCAGTGTGCTTTCCCCTTAGAGTTATTACGAGGCACAGAGCCATAAAGGACTCACAGAAGGCAGCTCTGCTGAAGAATTTAATCAACTATGACTCAACGCCTGTATAGAAGGCTTTACGATGATAAAATATTGAACAGGATATTTCCAAAAGTAACTCAACATACAAAGGTTTTAATATAAGTGTAACTTTAAAAGAAAACCAAAGGGGAAAAAAAAAATCAAAACCCTCTAGAAATGGAATGGAAATAAGATATTCCATCCAGCTGGACACTTATACAAATGACCTGAGTTACCATGCTTGCAATAAAAATAAAAATAAATAAAAATAAAAATCCAAGCACAAGAAAAGGCACCAATATACATTTACACCAGCACATGTTTATTTGTCCCATGGGTACCCAGTTTTAACATAGCAATGCCTGACTTGTCACTTTCACTCAGGTTTAGTCCCATGAGGGTCACTGGTCTGCTATTAGAAACCAGTACACATTTGCTTTCTTTAAGCAGTATTTCTGTGTTTTTTCATTTCAAAAAGCTAAAATTTAAGTAACAACCTTCATCTACTTTTCTTGCAATGTTACTCTGTTTCCGTATTAATGGAAACGTTCTAATATGTTCTAATGAACAGCCTATGTTTTCTTTTGAAACTTTAGACCCTCTTTCCTAGTAAGGAACCCTTTCATCCTGATAAATAACACTTCCACCAACTAGTACGGCTGCATTGCGTTATTGCTCTAGGTCTTGTCTCAGTTTAACAACTGTTTATGAAAGCTGCTAGTATCATGCTTTCCTTTCTGTGCTCCCAGAAGGGGTATTTTCATCGTGGTCTTTTTCTTCCACCTCTCACATCAAAATCTTGCCTAAAGGGTAGCTCACTCTATTTTAACAACTTTTAGACTGTTCTCATCCAGGCACTGTATGCCTGGATTACTTGCCCAGACTGTATTTTAGTTGTATTCTGCCTTCTTCGTTCTCCCTGTTAAGTCTTTCCCACAGTGCTTACTGTTCCCACTCAGGTTCCTGCAATCTAAGAATTTCTTTTACAAGAATACTTGCCTTCTTCCTTTGTGGTGGATTCTGGGGAGCAGATCTGACGCCTTCACAAGCCCTCTCGCTGCAGGGAGACATGGATCCATGCACTGTCTCTTTAAGCAGCCCTGACTCATGTCTGCTGAAATATCCTTCAGCAGGAGAGCTGCAGCATCCTGCTTCCGAATTCATTGGCTTCCTCTCTCCCAAAGGAGCAGATCCCCGCAACAACCCATCTACACGTGGCATAGCGTTCAATGGGGAGAAGGCATACATTAAATTAAACTCTGTCCGAAAAGCCTGATCAGAGCTTCGTAGCAGCATCTGTGCTTCCCCACTTTTCCCTGGGAAGTTCATCTCTGAAGTAGAGTTTATGGAGGGTTGTGGAGCCAGATCAGAGGATCCAAAGCTGAGCAGCGATGGCCGTTCTGGGCAGGTGTTTGCACCGGAATCCAAGTACCCACCCTTCAAATCCAGGTCGGATCGAAGGCAGAGCTGGAAAATCCAAGAAGGATATAGGAGGGGGGTGGGAAGTTAGGGAAACAGTCAGGCAAGGGTAGGGAGAGAAACTTGAGTCAGAAAATACTCTGTACAATGCTAGCTTACTGCTTTCCAGTTCCTTTCTCATTACCCTTTTGGTCCTTTCCTGCACTGTTCTGTTCATTCTACAGGGGAATGACCAAGACTAAATAATAATCAGTTTAGCTGTCCAGTACAAGATGCCCTTTCCCCTTTAGCAGTCTTGCTGCAGCAAGAGGATAAGGCTCAGTACTATCCCCACACAGTCAAGGAAGAAACCCAAGCATTTTCAATTGCCTCTATGTCCCAAAGTTGATGTTAACACATAGTACTAGCTAGGTTCATTACGGGGAGAGAACAGAAAAGATCTGCTGTCCATTTAGATAGAAAAGATATGCTGTCCATTTAATGTTTTATTAGCCAAGTTCTCAACTGTCCCAGGTCAGCCACTACTAACTTCCTAACAATAAAATGCCCAGGACCTCCTAGCCATTTGTTTTCACTTATTGTGAGCTTTGGAAATCTCTAACAATACTACATTCCTTTAATTTATACAGCATTTCTACATTTTACATTCTCTAACAAAACCATAATGGCATCATCTTTGTGCTGTCACAGTTTCTGGAGCACTAGGCACTGACACAATGGTATATCCATTTATCTACTTGAAGTGCCAAAAAGCTTCCAGGGCAACGGCATAATCGTCTCCTTCACCATGTTAATGTCAGGATCTCAGACAATGAGCATAACTGACAAGATTTCATCCTCTTTGCAGGACTACAGTGCTTAGGGAAAAACACAGCACCACCAGGCACTAGCTCTGCCCTACTGCTGCTGCTGAGAATGTTTCCTCTGCTGTATTACAGCTCCAAGTAATCTGCCACATTGGAGATGAGTGCGTATTTTCTACTATGAAACAGTCTCTGAGCAAGGTACTTCACCTTATATTTTACAACAGGCCAGTAGGTAAACAAAATACTACTTTCTGTCATCTCCTCAACATCTGGGGGTGCTGGTTGACAGCTGGCTGAATATGAACCAGCAGTGTGCCCAAGGTGGCCAAGGCGGCCAATGGCATCCTGGCCTGTATCAGAAATAGTGTGGCCAGCAGGAGCAGGGAGGTGATTGTTCCCCTGTACTCAGCACTGTTGAGACCACACACCTTGAGTCCTGTGTTCAGTTTTGGGCCCCTCGCTACAGGAAAGACATGGAGGTGCTGGAGCGTGTCCAGAGAAGGGCAACCAGGTTGGTGAGGGGCCTGGAGCACAAGTCTTATGAGGAGCAGCTGAGGGAACTGGGGTTGTTTAGTCTGGGGAAAAGGAGACCTTATTGCTCTCTACTACTGCCTGAAAGGAGGTTGTAGCAAGGTGGGGGTCAGTCTCTTCTCCCAAGTAACAAGTGATAGGACGAGAGGAAATGGCCTCAAGTTGTGCTAGGAGAGGTTTGGACTGGATATTAGAAAAAAATTCTTTACTGAAAGGGTTGTCAGGCATTGGAACACACTGCCCAGGGAAGTGGTGGAGTCACCATCCCTGGAGGTGTTAAAAAAATGCATAGATGTGGCACTTCAGGGCATGGTTTAGCAGGGATGGTGGTGTTGGGTTGATGGTTGGACTTGATCTTAAAGGTCTTTTCCAACCTAAACCATTCTACGATTCTATGATTTTAAGTTTGCAAGTGAACAGGTGATAAATCAAGACTGAAGAGAGCAGGTCAGGTGCACCACTGTGTCCTTGTTAAGTCAAAACTAGTAGGGAATGCTTTCCCTTTTCTTCCCCAGTAGTCACTTTGCTGCTACTGAGTAAATATCACACACCACTTATCTGCTGGGCTGGGGCTGAAGTTGCTGATGGTATTTCCAGGGTCCCCAGACCTCTTGCCTTCACCTCAGTAGCTGAGACGTACCAAGTCTTCACACTGCCTGTTTCCCACCAGTGTCAACAACTGAATAATAAATTTCAGTCTTAAAGTTGTTTGCTCTCTTGTGACAACCCTGAAAACTCTCCTCAGCCTTATTGTGACTAATGCTCCACCCTTTTTCCCACTTGCCTCCACACTTCTCATCCCTCCCCTCCCACCATGGCCTCAAATGCACACACAAGCACACACACTTCCAGCCTCAAATGCAATTGAGACTGTGTGATAACTACCTCAGGTGACATGGACTCAGGCCTATGCGCAGGGGAACTCTCAGGGGAGGATACGTTCTAGAGGAGGGAAAAGCATCATGTTATTAATCTACTTAAAAAGTCAAGAAACAAAATAAAATCAATTAAAAAACAAACACAGAGGTTAGCAATGGCTATTCTAAACAAAGACTATCCCAGGAACTGGCCCCAGCCTGGATGGCAAGTCTGTCCATTAAGCGGTTTCTAAACAGAAGGACAGACAGGACAGACGGGAAGGACACAGACAGGACTGGGTTACTGTGTTTCATGCTATAACCTAGTACCTAAACCAGAGCACATAAATGTTAAGAAAAGCAGCATCTTATTCTTTGCATTTCTGATGCCGTCAGATAGATTTTTGCACCACAAAATATAAAGAAAGCCATTTAAGGCATTTAGTCCGAGAACACGGGAGAGATGGAAAGCCTGTTTTTGCCCAAAAGGTAAACTAAGATCCCCCAAACACTATAGTGAACTTTCACGGACATTATACTAGAAAACAAAAATGTCTCCTTCAACCCACTGTGGGCAACCTTTCCAGCTAAAGTCAAGAGAATAGGTGTGAATTCAGCTTCAGAATTCAGGAGGACAGCTTTATGAAATGTATCATCTGAGCACCTATCAGTGGAAGGCAGTGTATGCATGTGATGGTGTGGTTAAGGCCTCCTTCCCAAGCACTCTCCTCTCCATGCTACTGAGCAGGCCTAAAATAGAATCAGAAAGGAAGAAGGTTTCCCAGAGGTACGTTGTTATCAGAGAAATAGGGCAGGAGTCACTGCCCTCTGCAAAGCAGAAACACTCAGAAAACTGAGGAATCTCAGAAACTTCTTCGATAAAAAAAGCTTCTGACAAACTCCACAGAAAAAGCAGATGCATGTCATCACACTTCTAGTCACTCCTATGAATATGGGAGAGGCTAAGCATCCTCCAATTTGTTTCCAATATAAAAAGTCCCAAAACTGAGTCTGAAAAAACTCAGTCTGTAAAAACCCAGCCAATCAGAGCTTCAGAAGCTTATGATACAAGCTCTTCACAGAGCAGCTAGGAAATTAATCATGAAGGAAGTTTCTTAAAAGCCACAGCTTTCAAAGATGTATTCCCCAGCAAGCCAGGATGTCAAGCAACATCTTCTGCTCGCTTGAGGAAGCTTGTGAACAGCTGGAAGAACCTTTCTGCTGTTCTCTTCCCAGAGTGCCATAGGACTGAAGTATAAAGCTTTATACATGGGGAGATGTATTCACTCAGGTTAGAATTGATGGTAACTAAATGAAACAGTCATGACATTAAAATAGTAATATTATGAATGAGCTGCATTAAGAGAAATACAAAAGTTTGAACAAAGAAGCCTATGGTCTATTGTGCTGTTAGACTCTTTTCAATGAGAAAAAAGGTAAAAGGGGCAGGTAAGGTATAGATGCCCAGTGAAATCCAGGCTTCCCATGTCTTACACATGGCAACAGAAATAACTAACACTAAGGTGGGACAGGAAATTAGTGACTAGACTGTGGAGGTCCATGGCAACACTGCCCTGATCTGCCATCTCAACCACAGCAAAGGTAAGGATTGTTTCCAATCAAGCTCTGTGCTTGAAACAGTCTTTCATGTCTCTCCTCAATGCTCTGCAATCTTCCCTGCTAACTTCCACAGATCTGCCTCTCAGACAGCTTACAAGAAAGGGCTCTCAAAGAAAATAATCAAAGCACACTAAGCTAAAAATACCACAAAGGACTGTTTGCGCTGTTGCAAAACAGATGACGGATTCCTGCAAAACAGTCCCTAGTACGGAGCAGTCTGTCACTGCACAAAATATTTTTTTAAATGGTTTTAACTGGCAGAGTGTGAGCAGCTGGCCCGAAGATTCCAATTTTTAAAAAATGAAAATACGCAATACTAGAAAATAAAACTAAAACTGCAAACAGCATGACCCCTATTTACAGGCACAGAACAGCAACACAAAGTGGAAGATCCTAGCTGGATGGATGCTGATAACACTCACACAGAGTTGAAAGCAAGGGAAACCACCTACACAGACACAGACCGCTCAGCACTTCTGCAAATTTTTGCAAAAGGAAACTTCAAGAAATCAAAGGTATAAGGTATTTTCCTTCTACCCAGTCAAGGGAAAGGAAAATCAAAGGATATAGTGGAAGCTGATGTAAAGTATTTCTACCACACAGGGGGTTACTGAAAGCTGTTTAGGGAAAGAGAAGCTGAGGATGTCAGACAGCCTTTGAGAAGTGGAGCACTGTTGCACTCTTTGGAAGAAGCAGGGATTGAAAGCCACATTGGCAGAGATCTGAAGTGGCGAAGATGACTAAAGAACACTGAAAAGCCTGCAAAATTTGGGAGCTACTGTGGAGAAATGGAGAAAAGAATTAAGACTAATGTTACTGATAGCTATGAAGTGAGGGGAAGGTGTGCTGCAGCAAGGTTTGACATTTAATAGAGCAGGAGATTTGGCCAGAAGTGGAGTAGAGAAGAAAGACAGCAGTGCTCTCGAGTCTGACACTATGATGCTGCTCAGGAATATAGCCACATACTCAAAAAGAAAGGTGTCCCTAGTGCTACCTCTACTGCAAATATTCCAGTTCCTCTCTTTTTAGCACTCCCAGTCCCCAATCAGATTTACCTCAAACTGTAGTGGAGTATTGCAGCGACTAGCAGCCAGAGAAGGAATTGGTGAGAACATCATGCCATAACCATTGCGACTCTCCTCCTCTCCTGGCAGTGATGAGCAGGGTGTAGCCAGCTGTGGGCTCACTGAGCCAGGAACCAAAGGGATGGGAGGTGGAGGGGTGACGGGAGATAGCGGCCTCAGCAACTTCTTAACATTCTGCTCCATCAAGTAGCGAGACTTCCATTTCTTCAGGGGACTCAGCAAGTCTAAAAAACAAACTGAGCTGAGGACAGGGCTGAACCATTAACCTTAACCATGTGCAAATGACACGCTGTCTTCTTCCCCCTACTCCCAGCCCAAATGGAGCCCAAAAGTCTCCAACGTAACTACGAAAGATTCCTAAAGATGAAGTACCTCTGAAGTACTTTTACACCACTCTTGAGGCATGTCTAGATACTGATAACAGAACAACACATAATCAGGAACATACAGTGAACAAGGAAAGGAAATATTTCAACTAGAAGTAAGCACAAAAAGGAGCCAGGGAAGACAGGAAGGCATAAAAAGAGGAGAGGGGAGTGGAGGAGAGGGGTCAGAGGACATGTCATTGTCACTGTGCTATGAACAAACCACAAGCAGCTCAGTTATCATTACCTGAGCCTCATAGTTCCCTATAGGCTACATCAACACAGCCCAAACACATTTCGCTCCCACAAAGGATTAATGCCTTTCCCTCAGGCCTACCCCTTTTCAAAATAGTATCTTTTTTTGATGCTTAGTTTTAAAAAAGAAAAAAAAAAGTATTCAGTAAATTCTGCAGTTCAGTTGTTTGTTTCTTCAGGTCTTGCTTAGAGACGTGCATTTATTGGTTCTGGCATTCTGTTTAATTTCCTATTCGTCTAACTTTTCAATAATCAGTTCTGTATTATCTGTGTGTTGTCTAGCTTCCCCTCTGTCATCCTTGGAAAACTGATCCCTGACTGGGCAGATCTTCACCCTCTTTCTCTGTAGAAAGATTCAGACACAATATTTAACCATTCTGCTTCTTTACTCATAGATTTTAGCTTCTCCATCTTTGAGACTTACTTAATCCTTCGCTTATTACATACATGCCTGTGAGACTTTGCTGTATCTTCCTATAGTCAGTAGATATTTAGTTGTCCATCTAACAGCATCCTGCTGAAAAGAGATGATATTGTACCCTTCCCCTCCACCCTCCATTGGACAAATGATCACACAGCACTAAGGTTGATGATGCAAGATAAAGTGATGATCTTTTCACAGGAAAATACTGAGAAACTTTACACATTCTCAAGCTAGAATGGGTCTGCGGAAATTTGAATGAATGGCAAAGTAACATTCCCACCTGCCATAAAGCTGTGCCATCAAGCAGCAGTACACATTAAAATGTCATCCTGTACAGCTGCCCTTGTTATTCAGCAGTTTCCCAGTTTCACTCAAGTGCCCACGCTGCCCTGATGGTGCTGAGCACTTACCTGTGTCATCTTTGCAGATGCTGGAAGAACTGCTGTTCTCGTTACTTTGGTATAGACACTGGGTTCTGTTCTCTTGCGGAGCTGGTGAGGTCTGAGTCATCCCCTCTTCCAGGGCTTGTTTGATCCAGCGCTGAAACAGAACGAGACTACATAAACGTGCAACCCCTCTGGTACTTTCTATGTAATCTTGCAGGATGCACTCAAACTCCTACACTTCTGTGCAGCAGGGCAGACTGCTCAGAACACTGATATTACCTCCTTCGCATGCGCTCAGACAGGAACCCGTTAGAACACAGCTGTTAGCACTGAGTCTACCACCTACTGTGATGGGGCTGACTATGTGCTCTTGATGAGATGTATTCTGGGGATCAGCAGTCTTCAGCAATAACACAAAGATAAGTAAAGAGCAAATTATAAATAGATAAAATGCAAAACTCTGGCAGCTAAAAACTATTAAAAGCAATCTTAATTAAAAGAAAAGGGAGATAAATATGATACTATCTTAAACCCCTGGTTTTTGCAAAAAAGCTGTTTCCTGCCCATGAGCACAAACATACTGTCCCCCTGCTCCACTAAGGCATATTACAGCTTAACACAGATACTGCTCTAACAATTCCAGCAGAGAAATGGCTAAGTTTAATCACATAACAATTCTTCCAGGACTGTGCTTGCTGCCAGAAACAAAGAGCAAAAAAATCTGATAAAATGCAAGCAGCCGTTTTCAAGGGGGCTAAACCCAGAAGAGAATAATAAAGGCAAATCTTTTCTTCAGCTACTAATAAAAGAGATAAAAGTCACAGTGGTCTTCTGAATATGGACAATAAAGAATGTTTCACATCTCATGCAAGTGAACATGAATTGAAGTCTCAGCAAATCAGCTGCTGCAGTGGGTGTGCTAGCCCTTTATCTTGATACAAACTGACTCCTGGTGGCAGGCAGGAAACCTTTGCTTACTTCACTATAAAAAATAACTGCCACAATATAAGGAAGAACACCCAGGTGATTCAGTAAAATGACAGCAAACTGCTGAAAAAAAGCAAACAGTAACTTGCATTTGTGTAGTTTACCCAAGGGACTTGCTTTACCAGCCTTTGCTTCTCCCAGAGAGGTTTAAAATCGTAAGTTTACCTTTCAGTAATCCACAGTTCATCTGCATGCCAGCAATAGGTATCCTATTAGAGATACATGTATATGTCTTATGATTCCTCAAAGCTATCACGAAAGTGCATCAGTAACTCAGTGGCCACAATCCTCAAAGTGAAAACTTCAATACGAGGATGAAGAGCAGGTGGCAGGATCTATTTTGATGGCCTTCACTACTGTACAGCAGACGCTTCTTCTCTGTTCAAATAACTCAATGGATTCCACTGTGGCCACCAGGAAAAGTGAGAAGTGCCAGCCAGTCTGGAGCACTGCTACCTCAAATGCAGCATCTGATCTGACAGCCAAGTCACTGTACAATGTGTGATTAATGTGAGCAGGTTATACAGTTCAGTTTCCTTGCGAGGTTCAGACATTGGCATGCTTTGGACGCAAACTGAGATCATCAGCTGAGGTTTTTTGGCACAGTCCTCAGTAGTTTAAGGAAGAGGCCTGCTGACAATCCAAGAAAATATGTGATCTATTTCAACAGCCTTTATAAATCAGCCTTCTGACTGAGTAGTCAGAAGCACACAAGACAGAAAGATCAGGTCTTGAGAGAGCAATGTCTTCAAGTTCTGGACCATTTTTAGACCTCAGCTGGCTGAAAAGGAGGTCTTCCCTGTGAGAGTATTCTAAATGTTCCTGAACATGAGAAGGAGATTTTTTCTACATCTCCAGACTGTTAGTGATAAAAACACCTAATGCTACCAAGCGTTTTCCATGAAAAATCTGGGGAACTCCTGCAAAATGGATGAAACCCCTTACTACAACAGTTATTGGTTATTTACTTTCAAAAAGTAGAAATCTAACAAATTACTTTCTGCAACATCTGTTCGGGACACAGAAACTTTCAGTATTTTATTAATTATTTAGATAATGGAACAGGTAGTGTACTTAAGTTTTCAGATGATGCCAGCCTGGGAGAAACAAGAACATGCTAGAAGACAGTATTCAAGATTTCCTACTAAACTGGGAAATGGATGTGGAAAACCAGGATGCAGCTTAGCATAGGCTAGAACAAAGTACCACATAAAGCCAGAAACAATAATTTCTAAAATTACAAGCTCAAAAACTAATGGGTTGTTCTAACATACATAGTAAATCATGAACTGAACACAAATCTAAATCAACATGTCAAAGAAAACTCAGTCGTCATAGTGAGATGCACAAAACGGGTATAGGCTACAGAACACAGAGCAACTTTCTGCTTTGAAAATGCCCCAGCTGCAACACAACATCCAGTTTTGGGCACTCAGCTTCAGGGAAGATGTGGACTAAATGGAAGTCATCCATAGTGAGACTAGTCCATTCCCTCTCCAGCTGTAAGAATTATCATATGACTAGAAAACAGCCAAACATAGCAAGAGATTGGAAGACTTGTTGCATGACAACAGTTTTCACTGAATTGCGAGGGTGCTGGCTAGTTGTAGAGCAAATGCACCGAGCAGAGAACTTGGAATAACTCTGCCAGTTTTGCTCTGGGTGCTTCTCTTTTCCCTGAGGCTCAAAGACACTGTTAAGGTTCAAAAAAGCAGCTTGAACCTTGCAATTCTCAGCTTAATGATGCATGGGGAGGTTGCCCAGGCACAAGGAAACAAACATGGTTTTGTTCATATGAGTACATACGAACCATCAAGAGCTTTACCTATGAAGAAAATACCCAAAAGAGACCCTTAGCTTCTTTTTGTAGGTGCCTGTTAGGGCATGACAACAAATTGGCTGAAGGTGGAAACAGAAAAGTCCAAAGCTTCTTTCTGGAAAAACTCCCTCAAAGGAAGGCAAAGAAACCAGGACATGGTACCTGACTTCGAAAGCTACCAAGACTGGAAGACCAGAAAGGATTTCCATAAAATTGTTCTCAGGTAATCACACAGGAACAGGAAGAGCCCCTAGGCAAAGCTGACAGGTGATAGGCAAGATGGATTCTGATAAAAATCTGACTGAGCAAACTAACCTGAACTTCTGTTTCCCTGTGGATGGCTAAATGCTAGGCACTTACTGGCCACATACCATCACTGGAGGAATGAAGTCCTCAGCTTCGCTCAGTTCAGGCTTCCTACACAGCCACAAGTATCTGTTGTAGATAGACAGTCTATGATCCCAAACAAAGAGCTGTGCACTTGCTCTTGTGAACAGGCAAACTCAAAGCTTTGCTAAACAACAAAGGCTCTCCAAGGACAATGGATCTTGACTGAGGTACTGTATTCTTCAGGTCTTTTGCAACACTGTCCTATCCCCACAATGCCAACCAGCCTCTGACTGTGAAAGTAGTAACATATGCAACAATTAAAACTCCTTGAATCGCATATGCTGGATAATAAACAGCCACTACAGATTTGAAAGTACATGTTTCTAAGAGGAGAGTCACAGAACAGTTCTACCATGGTAAAAGGTAAGTATGAAGACTGAACCCCAGCTAGGAGAAGGTCAGCAGTCAAAGTCTGGAGACTGCATCAACACATCAGGCAAGACCAGCTCAGCAGGAATACATGGAAATAGGCTCAAAGAGGACACAACAACTTTGCAAGGGTGCCAGTAAGAGTTTGATCAGTATATAGCCCCTGAAAGTAAGACATGAGCAAACATACCTTTTTACAGGAACTGTAAATTCCATCCAACAGAAAGGGCCTTCGACGTCTCTCAGGATTGAAAGGTGAACCAAAACGAATGTAGTGTTTAGGTGTGGTACAAATCAGCGGAGAGTGGATGAGACCTGGCAACATATTTAAGGTAGTTGCCAAAACTGTTGGGTCTGTAGTAATGCGCAGAGGGCATTCAATAGGGCACTCCTGCTTTTCTGCCTTGTCATTCAGCCATTCTGTAACAAGATACTGAAGGAGAAAACACACACGTCAGTGCAACTAGCACAGGTGAAGAGGAAAGGTAACATGGCACAAAGGCATATGGGGAAGCAATGCTCAGATCAGTCCACATGCTAAAACCTCCCTTCCTCCTTAACAAGAAGGAAGACAGCCAGGACTTCCTGCATCAAACCCAATTCTCATCTGTTAGAGGCACAACAGTTAATCCAGCTTTACAGAAGGTTCTCCCAAAACTTGATCACCTTGTTCAAAACTAGTTTCTAGCTGGAAGTCTAAATGTATTAATGGCTAATTTATGCCCAGTGCGTGGCAGCTGCCTACTAGGTTCTGCTATTTTTCGTCCTTTCCTTTCCAAGTTCCTCCCAGCTTGTGCATTGTAGTCCACAGTCACATTCCCTCTTGGTCTTCAATTCTAAGATGAAAGCTAACCTCTTTGACTTTGTCCTAAACAAATACACCCCAGCCTGACATCCCATCCCATCCCATCCCAAAAAGATACTGCCACTGATTCCCACACCAAACATTTTTATGCCATTCTAAATTTATTTTTAAATTCCAACTAATCTTTAGTCCATAATGGCTCCATTTTTCTCTCTTTGTTCTCTTGCTGGTATACACAAAAGAACCTTTGTTTTACCATCCTTCACAAGATGCAACACCCTGGTTATTTCAAGGTGGTGTTTTTTTCAAGCAAGTCTCACTACATCTCTATGCTGCTTTATTTAAGGTAACTTTCTTGGTTGACAGTTGGGAATACATGGAAAACATCTTAAGATCATATGTATCCAACCTTTTCGAATAAACATCCTCTCTTTTGGGTCCAAACACTAGTGCTCTTTCCCAAACTATCAGCATCTAGTTTTTAAATGACAGCTACTGCATCAGAGTCGTAACAACCACTTTTGCATACTGCTGACAAAAGCTTTTGCTAGCCTACTATGCATAGATCCAAACACATCAGCTCTCCCCATATTTCTATTAGTACCTTGTTCCCCTGCAGAACAACACAAACAGCTTGCTGTCCTCATGGCCTTTGCCAGCCGTCTCCCAGGCCTCTTGTTGCCCTCCACACCAGCACTGAAACATCTGCTTTTTGCTTCCCTCACCCAGGCCTCAGCCTCATCACCCAATTCCTTATGTTGCCAAGCCCTTCCAACCCTTGTCTCCCAGAGCCCCTCAAGCTGGAAGCAGTATCTTCCCCACATACACATATACAGGTGTATAATTTGCCTCTTTCTAGACTCTTTGCCATACCCGAAAGTGAGATCCTTCCTGTTGCACCTGTACCACCCTGTTGGTATCTAAGGTCTATGTAGACTTGCTGTAAAGATCAGCTAATTTCTTTTTCCGATTGTTTTGTGTACAGAGTTGAGCAGCTAGATGCTGAACCATGATGAGGGCCCTTAGCTACTATAGAAAAAATAATACGAAGTCACGTAATCCCAACCGTTTTGAAGAACTGTTTCTCCTGAGCCAACTTCTCCCCAAAGGCCACACAAAACCTTCTTTGCCCCTCTCCAGTTTGAGCACTCAATCATATTTACCTTTTTAGTTTTGGGGTACTTTACTGCAGCTCGATTAGACTGAGATCCTGCAGCCAGGATAGCAGTTGGGTCAGATCCCATCAACTGTCTGCCTTCTCCTGGACCTTCTACATTGCTGACATCTGTTGTGGTTACCAAGCTGGCAGTGCTTCCTTCCTCTGGGACAGCCTGTGCGAGTTCAGCTTGCTGGGAACTGGCTTGTTTCTGCCTTCTCAGTCTTTGTGCTGAACTGGTCCGGTATCGAGAGAAGCGACTTTTCGGTCGGGGTCTGGAGGGTTTGGCTGGAGCTGGCTTAGTAACTGTTTTTTCGGGGACAGCATCCTACAATATAAACTGTCATTAGTCCGAGCACCTCTAAGAGTATTCTTTTTCTCTGCGTACAGGATCAAGGATTGAGATTTATTTATTGACACTACCTGACTCATAAAATCTGGTTGGACTCTGTTTGTACTGGCTCATAAGATGGCTTTGAGGGCCCTTCTAAAACACTGGCACATTATATTTTTGTCTGCTGTGTTCTTAAAGGGATCAGCCAGAACACTGGTCTTAAGGAAGAAAGCAGCAGTATGAAACTTGCCACTTGTCTCAAGGTAACTGCTCTTAATCCTGATCTGAGTTGACATGTATCATTCCAGGCAAGCATCTGGACCCTACCATATAATGGGAACACATGCATCCAAAGTAGACCAGGCCAAAAAACCCAAAGAAAAAGCAAAAGAATTCCTCAGTCACTGCAGTTACGCATTCAACTTAACCTCACACTAGTACAGAAGGGGCCCACTTGGTGAAGGAGCTAGGCTTGTTCAGCCCAGAGAAGAGATGACTTAAGGGGACCTAATAGCAGTGTTCCTACATCCAGACTGAAGCCACCAAGATGCAGTGGTGCACCAATGTACAGACACTGAAATGAGAGGTTTGGGCTAGATAAAAGGCACAATTTTTTCACCATGAGAACAGTAATGAATTGGAAGAGGCTTCCCAGAGGGGCTGTGCAATCTCCATCCTTGGATGTATTCAAGACAAGACTGGGTAAAACACTGGCCAACCTGGTCTGACCTCAGAGCTGATCCTGCCTGACGCAGAATGGATTAGAGACCCCATGAAGCTCCTCCCAACCTGAACGATCTTATGATCGGGTATGCTGCATCTGGAGCTTGGTACAAGCTATTAAACAGTCCTATCTTCATCTTACCACTACTTGTGAAGACCGTCGTGTGTTCACCCCAGTATTGCTGTTACTGTTAGAAACATTTGGAGCAGCAGCACTCAGTGCTGAACTTCCATCTTCAGTTTCAGGAGTCTCTGTTTTTATTTCCTCCAGCTCAGGAGCTTCAGAATTGGTGCTGATTTCAGCATCAGTGCTGTTACGGTCTGATGGTTGCTCTCGTCTCCTCTTTCTCTTTTCCAAGTTTTCAAACATGTGCATGATGGCTTCTACCTTCCTGTCTTCCCGGGACTAGAACACAAGAGTAAATTTAAGTCAGCACTGCAAATTATGCACACAAAGAGGAGGAGGCAAGAACAGATATGGGATGCAGCACAGGAAGAAGAACAACTGCCAAATAGCAACGACAAGAGCCAGAAAGGGGACAGAGAGAAGCAGTTCTTTTCAGATATTTGCATTTTTCAACATGGCAAATTTCCCAGAATAACAACAACATAATCATGTGTTCATAGAGTAACTAGAAGAACTAGACTTTGTTCCTAAATAGGACCACTTAGACACTACGGAGTTATATTTATAAAATAGCCACAAGGAAAAGCATAATTTTGAAGAACTAAAAACCATAAAAAAGAATAAATAGAGTGAAGAGACAACTTGGAAACAAATAGAACTACTCGCTAATGACCAGAAGCAAACAGAAGCCAAAGGCAACAGAAGTGAATCAGTAATATGCAGCAAGTAAAACACACCACACAAACTGACTAAAATGATTCAGATTGATTCCTTCCTGGCGTCCAGAGATCACCCAGCTCAAAAACAAAAGCTCTTGTCTAAGCAGCTTACAGAGTGGATAAGAAAAACAGAACATGAGAGAACAGAGAGGCAAAACAAAGGTATTTATTAGGTAAACAGAAAGGACAGGAAATCTTATCACCTAGCTGTGTCAGAAATAATTGGTAATTATGCATGTAAAAGGCCCAGTACAATAATGCTGCAGTGACTGACAAAACCTAGGCTGAATCAAGTGAATTTTTTAAGAAGTGGTGTCAAGTGCCTTCTGAGACTTGTCATGGAGGATAAAGTATTTTGAAGCACACGGCAGTACTCAATCACAGCAGCCTGGCCTTTACAGTTTTCTGTTCAAAAATATTCAATACACACACAAAGAATTAGAGACTAGGAAAACTATAGATACAGGTATTTACCTGGTGCCAAGTATAGAAAACTGAATCTCATTAAAGCAGATTAACTGGTGCAACGTACAGGAACAGAGCTTACAGGCTCACGGGAAACTAACACTTCACTTAGTCTTCTTCAATTATACTGTCCCAGAAAGAGATCAGCTTCCCTGCATTAAAATGAAATCTTCCCTCCAAGCTTAAAGGCCAGTCTGATGGATGACTGCTTTTATTCAAATTTCAATAGAAACTGACTGCTTTATCTTGTCTGTTCTAAAAAAATCCATGAGATAATGCAAGGATCACTCTGCTGGATGGCCCTCGGCTCTGCAATTTGCTGCACTATCTTAACTTTTAAAGCATTCTCAGGAAATTTACACATAAATGATCTGTATCTCCAATCAGAGAAAGACAGGTGATTAAGGTATTTGAGGGAACTCCTAGCTCCACTACATTTGTTGGCTGGTAAAAGGATGGGAGCACTTTTTCTTTTTTTCCTCCTTGGGTTTTTGGTTGGTTGGTTGTTTTGTTTGGGGTTGTCTTTGTTTGTTTTGTTGGGTTTTTTTCTTTGTTCTGTTTTTTTTGTTTGTTTTTTTTTTAAATTAATGTATTAAGTAGAGCCAGAACAGCTCCATTCACATGCATAAAACATTCTAATCCAAGGGGTAATCCCAGGTGCCATAAGAAGCACAAGAAAAAAAACCCAGCTCTACTCAGTATCGAAGGCAGCTAAGAAGGGACTTTGTTATCAAAGATCCAAGAGCACTAAGAAATATTTTGATCAAGAAGACTGATTCAGACAACAATGATTTAGGAGCACAGAGGGATCTCCTAATAAAGAACACAGCAAATTTTGTTGACTTGTGCCAGTAGCGCTGTTGGTGGTCTACCCCTCTTATTAACTTCTGCCACTTGATCCTACCCTTTTCCCACACAGCAACAAACCTAACACAGCAAAACGTGTCACGTTTTAATAAAAAATCAGGTTCCAGTTCATCATATGATCTAGTTGAAGATGTCCCTGCTCGCTTGCATGGGCGGTTAGACTAGATGACTTTTAAAGGTCCCTTCCAACCCAAACTATTATATGATTATATGATTCTATATGGCTCCAGAAATTCTTGTACTGGCAATAAGAAAGGGCAGCAGGAACATAAAAACAGTGCGACTACCTTTTTGGAATCTGGTGCTGATTGTTTTGTTAATGGTATGTTTTAGACTATAGAATAGCCCTGAAAGTTACAGTTAAACCTTTCAATCAGGAAACAAACCTGTCGTATACCTTCTAATCTGCAGTACTCTAACATAAATCCTGTTATGTGGAGTCAATCTGGGGGGGTTTCGGTTGTTTTTTTTGTTGGTGGTTTTGGTTTTTTTAATCAAATTACTGAAGACCACTGACAGTTGGAATTTGTGTTGAAACAAGTGAAATAACCAACTGGACATGCTGGTCACTGCATGAAGCAAGTCCTAAGGGGGATGATACCCAGACTGAGAAAGGTACTTGCCCGGCGGCTGTGGACCTGTTCATCTACAGGCTCCTCCTTCTCCCCTTCTTGTTTCTCCTCCTTCTCTGCCACCTGAAAGAGAAGCCCAGACTTAGTATGTCAGACAAAATCTGGTACCGTTTTAAAGTTATCAAGATGCCTAGGGTAATCTAAGGTACTAAAGGTTTAAAAAAGGCCTCCTACAGTTTCTGTTCTGAAGATCCCAGTGCTGTATTGGATCAGATTCCACAGCACTGAATAATAAAAACATACATATAACAAAGTGTCAAGGGTTTTACCTCATTGTCACTGACTGCTGCAGGTCCCTCAGGAACTTCCTCCGTTTGTTGACTGCTGTTCTCATCTGATGCAATGCCCTGCTGTTCCATTTCTAGTTCCTTTCGACGAGCTTTTCGCCGGCGTGTTTCTGCCCCAATCAGTGTGCCTAAAACAGGTGGAGGTAGGTGTTCTGCAGCATTTGGGCTACGTTTCTGCACAGGGCAATTCCGGTTCCCCTTGTGACACGCACAGTCCACTTTATAGTTGCTGCTCCAAAACACAAACATAATTTGTGTCACTCTTCATTTCTCAACCCTTGTACAGAGACATTCAATGCATCTCCTACTAAACATCTCACCACGTGCCAAAGCAAGGACAGCAGGCTACCTTATGGCCTCTATTGTAGAATATGCCAGCAGAACTGGACAGAATAGCCGGAAAATGCAATTCAGTAGAAAACGGAGCAAAATGTAGAATGCGAGGAAAGGGCTGGAGGAAGATGTCCAGTCCAGGAGGGCAGTGGAGAGCTCCTGGGCGAGGTGAAGGACTCACCAGATGTTGTACTCATAGTCAAAGGCGATGGTAACCTCTGTGTCCTTGGCAATGGTGGCAACAGCATAGATACACAGGTGGATCATCCCATCAGCAATCACATGACGAACCTTGTTAAACAAAGTAGAGAGAAACTAACATCTCCACAAGTTGCACTTCTTACTTTCAAGAGGGAAGCCTCCTTCTGCGAAGTAGCTCTTATCTATTCCATGAATAATTATCCTAAATTCTCCATAGGGAAAAGGCCTGCTTCACTGCTCTTGTCTCATCCTGTGCTTTTCCACTTACTACCACCTGCTTACCCTAACTATCATTCTGCAGCCAAAGGAAAGCCATAAAAGAAACCTTTTCCTTCCAAAGAAAAACATCGTGTTCTCAAACTTTCTCATCTTCCAAGTATAAACCATCAAACAAGCAAGAGATGCAGAGAATCTACCCCATTTACTGCATTTTAAGTTTGAATATTTATAAAAAGGGAAGGCACTAAGCCTGTGTAAAACATGTATTTGCAATTACAGTGATGGTGAAGAGAGAATTTACCTCTGCATTTGGAGTGCAGGAACGCCTGATGAACCTGGCATCATTACCAAAGGTGCGGGCATCAACACACATTTCAACGCCATTGAACTTGGAGTAGAACAGCACAAAGGGATATGGCCTGGAGAAGTAACAGAATGTCTCAATCCCAAAATACCCGATTCCCATGGCACTTATAACAGGTATCCCTCACTTCACTGGAAGCAGCGCTTCCATCAGTGCTATTGCTCTGGACACTTACGCACTTCCATCATCACAGTTTAACAAAGGATTTTGGTCCATAAACAGAGCATCAAGCTGAGGCTGTATATTTGATTTCACATTTCTATGGATGGCACAGCTGACAAGGCCCCTGTAAGTGTGCATTACCCCATAGAGACACTAGTGTCTCCGTGCCATGATGCTCTCATACTAATCACTTCATAGTACTCTTACTTTTTGAAGAAATGCCCATTGACCTCGAATTGCTGTCGTAACATAACCTTCCCTCGATACTCAATTATGAGGGTATCTAGTGCCAAGTCTCTTGCTGCCCTCAGGATCTTCCGGTGCTTCTGAACACGAGTCACCCTTCCCAGCTGCAGCTGTAACAAAAACCAGAGCAAAATATGAGAATTTAAACCAAAGGCCTCTAACTCATGAAGAATATTTTACCTACATGAAAAGAAAAATTACTCTAGTAGCAACACACTCTAGAGTAGAAACTCTGCCAGGCAAATATATTGTTTATTCTGTAACAGTTTAGTAATAAACCAATGTCCTTGATAATATTTATCAAAAGCAAAGAGTATTTATTCCTTTCCTTCAAAAGTAAGTCTCACAAATCAGACCAAGTATTTCAGTCTTGCAGCTAGGAGGCATAACCAGACCTGTCAGTTGCTGCTAACAGGGAACTGCTCTACAATTAGGGCCACTTTCACAGCCAGAATAACTCAAATCTTCCCTAAATTGTGGGTTGTCACACATTCAGAGGAAAAAACACAACCTTTTCCTTCTACAGAGGATGGTAAATTCTAGCTAACAGGCCAAAGACTTAAACTGGCAATTTCTATCTCCATCCAGAAACTTCTCTTCATCTGCCTGCTCAACTAGTGCTGTTCGTTTATTTTTTTTTAAATTAAGAAATAAATTTTTAACTAAGTAGTGACAGTTTGCTGAATCTTCTTTACGTTAAAGTCTACAGTTCTGTTACAATGGATTTTCACAACAATGTGTCTTGACAGTATGAAACCACAACTTTCTTCAAGCACAGACATCCAAATACGACACATTTTACAGAATAATGGAAGGGATATTATAAGCACTAGGGCATAGGAAAGACTTCTTCCATAAAAACAAAGTGCTTTTCTTGCTTAACAGATTGAACCTCTCTGCAAGTAAAAATTACATGAAGATGGGTGGCAGAGCTATGCCTGCTCTTTCCTAAGCATGCTATTCACTGCTCATAAGGATCAGGTTTTGATACTTTTCTAGAGTGAATTGAGGCATAAGTGTTCTTACTTCAGTAATAATGACAGTCTTCTATCTAAATTAGAAGTAAACCATAAGATTTCATTAAAAGCAAGCTCCCAACTTTTCCTGATAAAACTGCCTTGTTAGAAACAGCTACTGCACAGTCTGCTCAAATGGATAAAAATCACATTAGCTTAAGAAGGGGCTCAATCTGGACAGCGACAGAATGCATGACATTCTAACCTTGTGAAAATAAAGTTAATGCCTTAAGGCAGCACTCAGTACTGGGAACCAAACAAAACCCTCCGTATTAACCATATGAAAGAACTGAACCACAGATTTTATTTTTTTTTGGTAGCAATCTTGACTGTGCTCTGAATGAAACCTCTTTGGGAAGATGACTTTCATTGTTTTAATATGACATTATACTGCAGATCTTGGATCAGCCAGTAAATTAAGATCCATGTGTTGACTTCTCTCACTCAGGTCCAGGATAAATATAGCTTTATAAAAATATTCATTTGAAACCTATGCAGACAGGAGTAGTGGTCTTGCTATTCCAGATCTCCTTTTAAGAGATATATCCAGTGCTACATTTATCAAGCCTACAGGGTATATCTCTTTTTCATACCACTGTATCTGCCAGCAACTGGAAAAACCTGCATGTACGTATTGGAGGCTCTGAAAAGCCTTGCAGGGTGTCATTCATCTCTTCATATCTTGGGTCATGATAGGAGCTCACAGAGTATTCCCCAAGTCCACTGAACTGGCATAAAAGAAACATGTTATTTCCAGACTAAGAAGCCACACTGCTGGCCCTAATTTATCATGGGTTTGTTGATCAGAAAAGTGAACTGTAGGACAAGACTGTTTACATTACCAAGACTAGTGGCTAAATTACTTTAAAAACATTGGATTCACTTTGTACTATCCAACTGTGGTAACAAAGAATAAATAAATGGGATTAGATTTGTTAGTGTGTGACAGAAGGAGATAAGGAGAAAGTATCTGAAGTTAGTAGATAAATTAGGACTGAGACACGAGCATGTCTCCAGTTGAATAATTTTGTTTCTATACTACCACTTGTTTGTTGTTACAATCAGTTTCTCATCTAAGCTGACTCTACCCAGGAAGGTTGGACCAGATGACCTTCAGTGGTTACTCCCAACCTAAATTATTCTACAACTCTATCAAATTCTATTAGTATCTTTCAGAGATGTGAGTTTAATGTCTGGTAGCCTTCACTCTCAACTTTGGCCCATGACTGACTTGTATTACTGTTCACCTGATGCTGGAAAACAGCTTGGGGAACACAGGTGGGATAAGGTGGGGTGGTAGGAGGAGAAGAGAGCCCATGAAGGAAAGAGAAGCTCTGCATCTGTAAAACTTAACAATTATCTGAGTTTAGTAAAACAGGAATGATCTCATAGCTTTTCTGATAAGACCCCAGATCAGCTTGTTTTCGTTCTCTGAATTTAGAAATATGAAGAGGATTAGCTGCCATGCTTTCATGTGTGAAAAGAACAAATGATTTTATTCATGTCATAGGCTAGGGATTGCTGACTGCTAATCAGACAAAACTGTTCTGATATGTTTGCAAAGCAACATCTGCATAATACTCAGTGGCTTTATTTTATAAAGGCCCTTTTGCTCTTCACTTCAGAATGTGAAATCAATCAGGGGTTTGAGCTCAAGTCAGCAATTATCAGAGGCAACAAAGGGCAAATACTGACCCTGGGTTTGGTTTGGCAACAGCAGGCAGAAAAGTGATTCACAGCTTTCAGTCTGTCAAGCATCTGGCAGTAGCCAGCACTAAGATGATTTTATTCATGACACTGAACAGCTTCATGTTTTCACAAGTTTCCCTTTGCATCACTAGGACAGTTGAGAATTGGTTTATCCAAAACATTCCAATGATCAAAATCCCATATCCTGCACATATAACTCTTAAACCATCTTTCCCTACTCCTGGCTTGGGGAAGATTTCAGGTCACACTTTCTTCTTCTCTCTCTCTTTTTTTTTTTTTTTTGAAGTATACACTTGCATCATTGTTTACCCAAACCAAAAACCTCTCAACTGTGAGAGTATGCAGGGCATCTACAACATTTTATTTTTATTCCTTTCTCCTGTCTCCAAGTCTTCATGGCCAAATAGAGCAGTTATGATACCCATCTTCTACACACAGCTGCCATCTGCATATTGACATGACTGCCTTAATTTTTCTCCTAGCTCAAAGTACCTGTTTCCTTATCTCCCAGAAAAACTATTTTAACGTCCAGTAATGACACCTAGTTAAAAGACAACTGATGCAAACCAACAAACGTTCTCAGTTTGTCTAACAAAGATGACACAAATGAGTGGAACAAAAATATAAAGCACAGGATGAGAGACCATGCACTCCACACCTGTGCAGGGTATCCTCCTCACAACACTCCACAGCCATCTGCTGAGCAGAGAAAACAAGGACACAAGGGCTGACAAGCAGCAGCCCAGGACAGCCACCTGGTCTTTCCTCAGTATCCAGAGGAACTACAAAGCCAGTAAGTCCCTTTACACTTTCCCAGCAGGTGCAATGATAGGTACCTACCTACAGCTTGTTTAGAGTAACTGCAGCTCACTATGAAGTTTTGCAACTTTCTATCTTTTTGTTTCTTTGGAATACATGGCCTTTGGAGTCTTCTGATCTGGAATGCTGGCCACTTTACCCTGTGGGAAAACCTATGTCTGTACAGGCAAGGGAGAGGGCAAGAGAGCATGACAAGAACAAGCATGTTTATGTATGATATCTTTTATAATCGTCTTCCTTCTGTACTTTATGAAGGTAATAAAAAGAAACAGCATGTTTTATTACTTCTTTCAGGACTTTTCCTAAAACTCATGTGAAGGAGATAGAAGAGTTTACATTTAGACTCAGAAATATTAAGATTTCTAGAGAGGCAGAACTTTTTCTTCCCTCTATTTCCTCAGTTGCTCTCTTTAGGAAGGCTACTCACATAGCTAAGTAGAAGTGTTTCTCCCCAACCCCCACAGAAGTCTTATTATTGCAGAACTAGAGGCAAGAGTGGAAGGAAGTTGAGTCCAAAGTCCTCTTTCTGCACTCTCCCTTACTGGCAATATCTGTGCTCTGCCTGATGTGCTTCACCTACATGAAAGCAGAGGGAAAAGTGGGAGGGAGCACGTGAACTTCACAGAGCGGTGAGTCAGCTGATACAAACAAGAATGATTCAAGCACAAATATATACCTGATATTCAGGTTTCTGACTCCACTTCCATTCTACAGAAGAGGTGCCCCACATCTGTTTTGGAGCCCATCCTTTTCAGTTGCACCTATCTCCATTCTCCTGGACAAGGAAGCCCTATCTCCATTCTCCTGGACAACGAAGCCCCACAAAGCCTGAACTGAGTGGGAATGCTGCTCTCTGTTCAATAAAGCACGGACCAGATGAAACATCAGCTGAGAAAGTAGCGGGGAGGACATACACCACACAAACACATTCTTTTCCTGTTTCTCCTTCTCTACATGCACTTCATAAAGCTGGCATGACACCAATCATTGCACATCTTGGAAGAGAAAAGTCAGGGAGAGACAGTTCCCTAAAATCAACTGTAGTTGTACAGCATTTGAAAGTTACCAGAGTCCAAATAATAATCCAAAACATTGAAATAATGTTGAAAGGTTCTTTAAAATAGCTTCCCACAGAACATGAGCCAGGAGAAACAAACACACACAACCTCCCC